CAACATTGACGACACTGAAGAACTGTTACACTTATTTCAGTTGCTATTCGTATTTTTTTTTTTTTATTTTGTTTTGTTTTTTTTTATAAATTAGCACCGACGCCTAAAACTACATGACCATACATTAAATTCTGCAAAAATCTACTAGTTTTGCATTTTTTTTTTCGATATCATAAGGGGAAAATCGGTTATCGTAGTAAAAGCTTTTACATTCTTGCAGTGCTGGAACAGAGCATTGATGAGACCGTCACTCGTTACCGTGATATTGGCTGGTAGAGTAGCCCGACGTCAAGGAAGTGTACGGAGGAAAACAGCAACATCAGCAGAAATGGTTCAAAAAGTAAAGAAACGACTTGATCGAAACCCGTGTTGCGTCGCAGTGGCCGAAAAATGGCTCGTGCGCTGAACTTATCGCAATATTCCATTCGGCAAATATTGAAAAAATGAGCTTGGGGTAAAGCCATTAAATTTCAAAAAGTGCAAGAACTTACAACGCAACTGAAAGAAAATTGACTCAAAAGAGCTAAAAAGTTGCTTCGCTTGGCTGAAAGTGGTGAACTGCCGAATTTGGTTTACTCCGATGAGAAAACATTCGCCACAGTTGTCCAACAGTTTGTAAAAATGACCGCGTTTACTTGCCAAAGAGATCAGCTTAAAATGTGCACCTTCGGTTGGCCACCAAAACTCAAGCGCCGGCAATGGTGATGGTGTGGGCCGTCATAACAGCCGATGGTCGTTCTCCGCAGCCTTGGGCACGCAAACATTTTAGCCGCAGACCTTGAATATTCCAACAGGACTCAGCTCCATCGCATTCAGCACGCGCCACCCAAGAATAGTTACAAAATGAGGTACCTCGCGCACAATTGCCACCAAAATCATCTCCGGATACCAATCCGTTGAACTATTGAGTCTGGAGTATTTTAGAAAGCAAGGTTGGCACTAAAAAATACCAAAGTGTCGATCACCTCAAGCAAGCTTTTCGCCGGGAATGGGCCAAAATACCGCAGAGCAACATTCGGGCAGTATGGGACGGTTTCATTGGCCGTTCAAAGACCATAATTCGTGCCAAATGTGACCAATTCAAACAAATCTAAACGTTTTCTAAAATTTGATGCTATTTCAGACATTTTTTGTTTTCATTTAATAAAATTTAAAAAAAAATGTAAAAATTATGGCGTTTGACTTTGTTGCAGTCGTAGTCGCAATTTGCAAAAATTTTCGAGTAACCAGACAGGCCTTATGTATCGACAAAAAACGTATAACATTAGTCATATAATGTTGGCAAAAAGAAAACCAAAACAAACGGTATTCACCTGACGCGGCACACATGTCTAGAAGAATCTTAAAAATATAATTTATATTCCATAATGAAAACATTGGAAATTTTGTTATCTTTGAAGAGTTTTTGCTTTTAAGATAAGAAAGGCCAGTAAAAAGGTATAACGAACCTTGATTTTGAAGTGATATTTGAAGTGGAAGAGATTGTGATCCACAAAAATAATAGGTACGACACACTAAATGCAACGATGCGGGGGGTGTCATTTTGTCTTAGGAAAAAAATGAGTTTATTTTTGTGTCATCTGTTTGTATGTATTTTCTTGATCAACGAAGATATTATCCAGTGTGACCACAAAATATTTTCTATTTTTTTCTTATTACCCATCTATTGTTAATAAAACAAAGATCAAACAAAAATTAATAAATAGCTTAAAAACACAATGGGTTTTTAGTTATCTCAACTCTGTTTCATTTCTCCTAACATCATTTAATAACAATAATGAGAGAAGAGTCTCTTCTTCTTTTTTATTATATTCTAGTTGAATTATACAAGAACACATAATTCTTTACGTTCTCTATTATAATTTCACTTATGTCCATCTTCTCTATTATAAATTCACTGATATCCATCTTCACTCAGGCGCAAGTACACAAATAAATAAACAAATTAATTATGTTTTTTTTATACGAGTAACAGATAGTAGAGTGACCATAACAAATTTTAAAGTAAAAAGTAACTTTATTTACTAAAACACATAAAATTCGTACAAGTATGGCCACCTTGTACTGTTTTGTTCGCCGGTCGCCGGCGTATGAAATAGAAATAAAGCTAATTGAGTTCGCGGCGACCGACGAAATTTTCGCCGGTGCCGTGATTGTGTGCACTTCCATATACACATATGTGTTTTATTTTTGACGACGAACATACGCCGCGAAAAAATTCGTCGTTCGCTCCAATTGTGTTCCTAGCATAAATGACAAGTCGTCGGCTGGTCGCTTGACGTTTGCCCAGCTTGGTTCGTTCGTTACTTGACAAAAGGTTTTTCTGTTCGTCAAAACAACAACAGTCTGCCAGATAAAATACAACAACACACAACATATATAATGACCTCCTCTTTTGCACAATTGCTTTGCGTGTTGTGTTGTTCTCCCTCTTCCCTATACGCGCATTCTTACGTGTTTTTGTTGTTGTTGCAGTAGTTTCTGTAAATAACACACACTATGAATGGATGTTTGATTTGGAATGGCTGGCGGTAGAATGAGTATGAGAGGGGTACGAAAATGTAAATGTTAATATGACAAACAACAGGGTTGCCAACCACTGGCGACAAAGTAAAAACCAAGCATCAAGTGGGTGAACTTAGATGGAGTGGAATAAACTTATTTCAATGGTTTGCAAGAAAAACAAAGGAAATGCATTTGTTTATAGAATGAAAGGGGGAAACAAGGAAATAATTTGTAAGCCATGGAAGGGAGGGTATATTAAATTTGCCAATTTGCCAGAAATATTCGAAGAAATTATTAAATTATTATTTGTCAAAGTTATAACTAAACATCGAGTGGAAGAACTTAAATGGAGCGGAATAAACTTATTTAAATAGTTTCCAAGAAAAACAAAGGAAATATATGTGTTTATTGAATGAAAGGGGAAACAGGGAAATAATGTGCAAAGGTGGTTATACTAAATTTGCCATTCCATTTGCAACACTTCGAAATATTCGTCAAAGACCCTATAAGTGATATATATTGATGATCGGCATAAAATCCTAACTTGATTTGGCAATGTCCGTCTGTCGTTTGACATCAAAATACATATGACATATAACCTTGAAATTTGTGACAATTGTTGAAATTGTGTCTAGAATGGTTGGTATAGAAAATAAGGTATTTGGGTCCACTGTTTATGTATAGCCACAACATAGAACCCATATAACGGTACTTCCCGATGTTGGGTATTTTGATGATTTCAGCCAAATTTTTTCTCGATATTATTTCAAATCTGATATTTAGATTTTATAACAAACTTAACATTCCCGTGGCACAATATTGTCAACACAGGTCCATGCTTATATTTTTACGATTAAGACCCCATTTTCTATCGGATTTTTTTTAAATTGGGTATTTGTAGTTCATTATAGTTTTTACCACTGGAGACAGAGCATTGTCCATATTATTTCACGGTTTCCGTATAGCAGTACCGCCTGATATTCGGTATTTTGATGATGCTAACCATATTTTTTTCATGGAATCGGTTCAAAAAATTTAAGACTCCCAATAAATAGCAGAAAATTGTCTATACAGCTCAATTTTGGTTCTTTGGAAATTGTAACTTCATTCACCAACCGATCTCGCTGGTATTTGCAGTTTAAAGTGGAACGTGTTTGAATCCAGATACCTCTATTTACAAATGTTTTATGGAGGGTATTGTTTTTACTAAAAACACCACTTTAATGAACCGAACATTATCGGTTTGTTCGGGTTAGAAGACTCTTTTTTGGGGGTTTTTGGAAATCCCTAGTCCAAAAACTTAAATTTCAATTTAACTTCCAAACCGTTTGATACTGGTATTGTCTATATCGGTTTATCTGGGTTCGCGGATCCTTCACACAAGAAAATAATAATTTCCCGTAATCAAGGCAAAATTTCCTCTGGAAAACCTTTCAAAATCATCCGAAAGTTTTTAATGACTAGAGTTGAGCCAAAGATTTTTATCGGATTGCTAAGTTTTTGGTCAATGTTGTAGTGGGCTTTGTATAATCGATTATTTTGGAAATGATTAAAAATTAATTTAATTCCTTGTTTTCCCAACGTTTCGTTGATTTACTTTCGACTTCTTCGGGGGACTTTATTTTAATTGTTATGTAAATTTTTTTCTAGTCGGCATTGCCTTTAATTGGTAGTGAAGGAAATGATTTGAATTTTTTTATAGACGTCTACCTTATTTTTTTATCGGCTTTTCTCAACAACGACGAACTGACTGCAGTTACGCCTTCTTAAAAAGTGGACTGAAAGTTGTTTTGCATTTGGTTTCTAAATTACGCATTCAGTTTATTTTTTATTTTAGTCAATAGTTTTTTTTTTTTTTTTTTTTTTTGCATTATTCTATAATTCTCCCATATGATTTATTGGCAAGGATATCTGCTTAAATATATTTCCATATTACATTTACTTTCAATTATTAGCCTTCTTTCTTGTCTTACAAAGTAATTTACACATTCCACCATTCCTCACGTAATTTTGTAACACATACATAGCCTGGCAACCCTGTTGCTTGTCATTACTACTACTAAAAGAAACCCCTCCATTTCGAGAGCAGCAGCTGCCTTTCCTTATTTACAAGATAAAGGAAATTGACAATAACTTCCTTTTGCAACATTCATCTACTACTTCTTCGTCTTTGTCCACCATACAACAACAACAACAACAAGCTTTATTTGTGCTCTTGTTTTTGTTTGTTGTCTCAACCGACTGTCTGGTCGTTTTAATGATTGAATTTTCATCATATTCATTTTAGCCCGTTTGTGCGATGATTTCAATGATTTACTAATAACAAATTATTTAATTAGGTAACCTGTTTAACCACTTTTCTTTTGCTTGGGTATCTCTCTTCTTTTTTTTTCGTCTTAATATATTTGTCTCAATTTCCAGCAAACACAAACTCGCACACAGTTAAGCACTGACACAAAAAAAAAATTCACTAAAAATACGTTATGTTTCCTAACCTTTTTCTTTGGTCGTTTATTCGTACACTCGTCGAATTATTCGTATGTTTCGCCACACACAAAAACACAATCCAGTGAAAAATAGCTTCTTTATTTCGTTAACTTGTTTAACTTTTATATTTTGTTTTCTATGTATTTTTTCGTTTTGTTATTAATGCACGCTAAAACATCACCATCTCTCTCTCTTTTAATTACGCTGCTTGCAATAGAATTAAACCGATTTTTCTGGCATTGATTCTTCTCGTTGTTTATTCCGTCAGAGAGTGATTGATGATATGTATTTTTTGCTGTTGTTGTCGTTGGTTGTTGCTATTGTTTTGTGCAAATCAAATCGTTTCACAGAATTAAATAAGAAAGGGTACGTTTATTTGCTTTACTACCGCGCACTAAATGTACGTACTAAATTTTGTATGTTCTTTGGAAACGAATAATTTTGACTGACAACGACGAATAAAAAATACATTGGCGCTGGCAAAATATCGATTGCTCTATCGGTACCATCGATATTTTATTTTTTACTTAATATCAATGGATATTTTTTCCTATCGATATTAATGACAAATTTCCGCGATTGGTAAATTTAAAATAAATAAATTTAAAGCAAAGAAAAACGCCAATAGCGCAAAAGCCAAACGAAACATTAGTTGTCAATTAAATAATGTATTTTTATAAAAAGATAACTCGACAGACTTATGGCATTTGCACTAAATAGAAGAGCAGAGTAGTGTTGCCAATTCAGTACTTTAGTAATACCATGTTCCCACTTATATTTGACATTAGTTGTTTCTTGGATTTTAGGGAAATTTTAACGAAAATACATGAGAAGTATGATATGAACGAAATAAATAATAACTCAAAAAGATATTTTATTATAAATTCAACTAATTTCGTTTATACTTTCAATTTTTTTTAATATTGATCTGAACTGTAAGAATGTGAAAGTTTTTACTACTATAAACGAATTTCCTTTAATAATATCGAAAAAAAATTGCAAAACTACGTTCTTGCAAGTTTTGAAAGAGAACATATGTTTAACAGAACATATTATATTTGGCTGGTAAACCACAAATGGCTATCGTTAGAGCACTCCAGCATTTAAATGTGAATAAATCTTTTGTGTCTCGTACCATCGCTCGTTACGGTAATACTAGTAGCGTAGCCCAACTTCAAGGAAGTGGATGGAAGAAAACAGCCACATCAGCAGAAATGGTTCGAAAAGTAAAGTGACCGAAAAATGGCTCGTGAGATGACCATATCGCAATACTCCATTCGGCAAATATCAAAAAATTAGCTCGGGGTAAAGCCATTGAAATTCCAAAAAGTGCAAGAATTTACACCGCAACATATAGAAAATAGACTAAAAAGAGCTAAAGAGTTGCTTCGCTTGGCCGAAAGTGGTGAACTGCCGAATTTGGTTTTCTCCGCTCCGATGAGAAAACATTCGTTGTCCAGCAGTTTGTAAACAAACAAAATGATCGTGTTCAAAGAGGTCAGCTGAAAATGTGCACCTTCGGTTGGCCACCAGAACTTAAGCGCCGGCCATGGTGAAGGTGTGGGTCATAACACCATAACAGCCGATGGCTTCAGAATAAATGCCGAATACTATCGCGAAAATATTCTGGAAGGTGTAGTAAAGCCTTGGGCACGCAAAAATTTTGGCCGCAGACCTTTGACATTCGAACAGGACTCAGCATTTTCGCACTCAGCACGCGCCACCCAATAATGGTTACATAATGAGGTTCCCCGCTTCATTTCAAGCGTACAATGGCCCCCAAAATCTCCGGATACCAATCCGTTGGACTATTGTGTTTGGAGTATTTTGGAAAGCAAGGTTGGCACTAAAAAATACCAAAGTGTTGATCACCTCAAGCAAGCGCTTCACCGGGAATGAGCCAAAATACCGCAGAGCAACATTCGGGCAGCGTGTGGCGGTTTCATTGGCCGTTTGAAGGCCATAATTCATGCAACAGAAGATCTCCGAGTGGAGTAGTTATCGGATGGGGTAAATGGGTGCCCTATAAACTAAAGTAGACATTTAGTATTGGCTTTTAAAGCCTATAACCGCTGTTTTTAAAAACTTGTGACATTTCAAAAATTTGTAGTAATACTCTTAAAACTCCATTAAATGATAATGACTATTATTAACTTTTATTGATATTTTTCTTGTTTTATTGTAAATTAAAATCTATATAAACGCCCTCTTTGTCTTTGTGTGTGTGTTTTTTGTTTTGTTTATTTTTTGTGTGTGTAAATACAACAGATACAAATTTTTGTTTTTAAGAAAAAAAAAAAACTTATTTAAATATTCAAAAAAAATTTAAAATGAAAACTTTTTATACTTTTTAAATTGAAACTAAACTAAAAAGCAAAAAAATAAAAACAATTGTTTAAAACAAAAAAGGAAGGACATGTGAAAATGAAACAAAAAAAATATATTATTAACCCTTTACTTGGACATTGGAAAATGAGGTAACTTATATTTAATTGCTTGTTGTTTTTGTAAATTGTATATAATTGGGGGATTTGTTAGTTATTGTTTTTTTTTTTGTTGGTTTTTGCTACTAAAAGCTAATCATAAAGAAAATTGGTTTAAAAAAACAATAAAATTAAAATAAAATAAAGAGTCGAGAATTATTAATTATTGTATTATTATGCTATAAACACTACATCTGAGAAAACAAATCCTTTTTTAATGATTTACCAATTTATTTTCTTTCATTCCATTTTATCTGTTTTGTTTTTCTAGACCATTCTTTCTTCCAGTTTTCCATTGCATTTGAGGCAAACAGCCATTGTTCATCATTGTTTTTGTTTTGTATTTTTTTTGAAATGATACGACGTGAATTGTGACTTCTTTCGCGTAGCCGCCATTCGCATTAGATCCACGCGCAGGTGACAACTCACGAAATTATACAGCTGCTTTTTTCCTGGGGATTGCCATTTTCATTTTCAATTAATAATAAAAGCTGATGGAAAATATCAGCAACAGACTGAAAGAGAGGATAGAAAGGACAATTCAAAATTTATGAATTTATTAAAAGTGAATATTTTTGATGCTGGCTTCATCACCTCATTTTGTTTAGCAGAAGTTTCTAAAAATGCAGCACGCCAAGATTCGGCCAATTTCCTACCCTCCTCCGTGGAAACGGTGCGTTCTTGATGTAAATCGGTTTTATTGCCTACCAAAACAACAGGTACACTAGAAGGCGAGTGGTAAAATAATAATTTAATATAATTCTGTTTCGAATTTGCTTTGTTCCAGTATCTGCAAGAATCTACTAGTTTTTCAATTTCTTTCGATATCAGAAAGGAAAAATCGGAATTTTTACATTCTTGCAGTTCTGGAACAGAGCAATAATTTTATGCTATAACTCACTATTTCTTTCCCATAACATCTAATAATTTTTCATAAATAATTTTAATAACTTCAAACGACTTCTGACTGGTTATCGAATAGACCAAGACATAACCATGAAAATCCATGCTATATTGTACTGGAAATATGCTATATTCGTCTTGGCCGGCGGTGTCCACAAGTTTAACGCCATAGTCTTGTGAATTAACACGCGTCACTTTCGTAAATGCTGGAAAGGAAGGAAATTTTTTAAGTATTTTATAAATTTGATTTTTAAAAAATGTGTGTATTTAGTTTAAAATAAAGCCACGTTTTTGCAGCAAAATTGCTGTGTTGGTGACAGTTTTTGGCCAAGTAAGCCCTATTGTTATGGCAGCCAGAATACCTTATTATACTGTTTGGCAGCTACTCAACTCCAATGCAATTTATGAAAGAATTATGGATGTCTTGAAAAATGCATGCATGCATCGAATTGGTGGCAGATGATTTGAGTCCTTTAAGGGCCTGAAAGACGACACACCAACAAATTGTTCTGTGGCAGTTTAAATTACAAAAGCTATTGCTTCGAATCACATTTCTGCAGGGTGAGATGAAAAAAAACTGCAACCAAATTCAGATTGCTGTCATTTTAAGCCCCTCGTCCGACAGCTGTTAAAATTATTCCAGTAACAGCTCATTATATTGTCTACAAGCGTACCAAAAGCATTTTGGTGAGAATTTTCCAGAAAAAAATTTATTCGTGATGAAATCCAAGCGTGATGGTGGGATTTCTTTATAGTTGGGTAGAAAACCACAAGTGGCTATCGTTAGAGTACTCCAGCATTTAAATGTGAAAAAATCTTTTGTGTCTCGTACCATTGCTCGTTACCGTGATACTGGTAGCGTAGTCCGACGTCAAGCAACATCAGCAGAAATGGGCAGAAATAAAAAAGCGACTAGATCGATACCCGCGTCGCCGTGGCCGAAAAAAGCGTGAGCTATCATAATATTCCATTCGGCAAATATTGAAAAATGAGCTCGGGGTAAAGCCATTGAAATTCCAAAAGTGCTAGAACTTACACCGCAACAGAAAGAAAATAGACTCAAAAGAGCTAAAGACTTGCTTCGCTTGGCCGAAAGTGGTGAACTACCGAATTTGGTTTTCTCCGATGAGAAAACATTCGTTGTCCAGTAGTTCGTAAACAAATAAAATGATCGTGTTTACTTGCCCAAGAGGTCAGCTGAAAATGTACACCTTCGGTTGGCCACCAGAACTCAAGCGCCGGCCATGGTGATAGTGTGGGCCATTAGGCCATAACAGCCGATGGTCGCTCTCCGCTTGTATTAATCGACCGTGTCATCAGAATAAATGCCGAATACTATCGCAAAAATATTGTGGAAGATGTATTAAAGCCTTGGGCACCCAAATATTTTGGCCACAGACTTTCGATATTCCAACAGGACTCAGCACCATCGCTCTCAGCACCCGCCACCCAAGCATGGTTACAAAATGAGGTTCCTCGCTTCATTTCCAGCGCACAATGGCCACCAAAATCACCGGATACCAATCCGTTGGACTATTGTGTCTGGACTATTTTGGAAAGCAAGGTTGGCACTAAGAAATACCAAAGTGTCGATCACCTCAAGCAAGCTCTTCACCGGGAATGGGCTAAAATACCGCAGAGCAACATTCGGGCAGCGTGTGACGGCCGCTTTGGCCGTTTGAAGGCCATAATTCGTGCCAAAGGTGACTAATTCGAATTGGAAATCTAAACTTATTTTAAAATTTGATGCTATATCCGACATATTTTGCTTTCATTCAATAAAATTTAAAAAAAAAATCTAAAAATTATGGTGTTTGACTTTGTTGCAGTTTTTTTTTATCTCACCCTGTATATCTTAAATCTAATCCAGTACCAAAGATGCCTGAGCTCGTGCTATTCTCCATCTTACATCTATCGGTATAAATTACAATTATCCATTTGCTCAAAATTGACGAAAAGTGATATAAGAAAAAATGGATAACTCTTGCTTCTTACAGAATCTACATTCCACATTAAGATCGCAGCAGCATGGCATCCTATTGACCCGGACCAGTAACTTAATTACTTAAGACCAAGGTCTTTTTCCTCTATGAAACCACCTATCGTTCAAGTTGATGCAGGTATTTGGAGTCTCTCCAATTTGAAGTTGAAGGGTTTTTTGTCTAACGTGCCACGGATTGAGGCACCATAGGCTTGACTGGCGTACAAATATCGCGTGAATGTAGTGTATTTTGATATCTTTTTTTTATCGTGATTGAGACACTTGGTCGAGTGTGGGAAGGTCCTAATCACACGTCCTAGATATCCTTCAGGCTGTACAGAGTGACTTCCATTTCCATAGATTCAGAATGTGTAAGATATACTGACATAAATTCGATCAATATTGCTTATTGTAGCGTTAAGACGTTAATACTATTTGGACCTGGAAGGAAAATTTATAATCGATGGATTTTTAGGCTGATCTATGAATGAACAACCCAGATGAGGCTCTTAGGCTACAGTTATGCTTTCGGATAATTCTTGAAAGTAAGAGCTTTCTTATTCCTTTAGCAAGTGGAAAGGTCATTTATGTTTGGCCGGAAAGGTACTAATCACAATATCTAGAAATCTTTCAGGCTGCCCAGAGTGACTTCCCTTTCCATCGATTCGGAATGTGTGATAGATACTGGCATAAATTCCATCAATATTGTTTATTGTAGCGTTAAGTCATTAATACTATTTGGACATGCAACCTTGCAAAATAAGGCTCTTAAAGTTAAAGAAAGAGCTTTCTTATTTCTTCCGGAAGCTCAAAATAAGCTATATTGGAAAGGTCAAATATGTTTGGCGGGAAAATGGCGATAATTAAGAATCATCTCCAAGAACAGAAGACAAAGGTTGCTACGGAAAATTATTCTGCTGATTTTCCATTCCCTGTTTAGTTTACAAGGTCTATGAAATATATATTTTACTCTTTTTCAAGATAATGCAATCCCCTCCCCATTATCAAGCTAAAAATATCCCTAGCGTATCTTAAACTAAAAAAATTAGGTGTTTCTTTTAAAAAAATTAACATCAAATCAAATCCGCAAACCATTTTGATTTTGCACAAACCGAAAACCTACTACACATTTAATTTACAATTGCATGACATGTACGAAATTGTGTGGACTTTCCCACACATAAACTAAAGTGTAGTGGAATGCTCTTTTGGAACGCACATCATAGTATTTTGACATTATACAGGGTTATTATGTACCTTAGCCTTGACATAAATAAGAAGCAAACCCAACTCCACAACACCAGCAACAACAACACAGCAGTATACACTTTAATTTGTAAAGTAGGTTACAGTGTACCAGAGGCAAATACCTACAACATCGCAATAAAGTTTCAAGAATGAATCATGTTTTCTATAAAATATTTTTTAAGGGAATTCTTCGGAATATTTCCTAAAGAATCCATCAATTGCGACTTTCAGACTCGTTTGACATACGCACACCATATATATAACCATGGGTTTTGTACTTACTATTTTCTATGGTTGGATCATAGGAGTCCACAAATTGCCCCTCAACAAACTGGATACTCAGGGAAGATTTTCCTAAAAGTGGGGGGGTAGAGAACATACAAAAGGATAATAACGATTTTCTATAAAAATAATAATTAATCAATATAAATAAATAAAACGCAAAAAGAAAAACAACAAAAAATATAGTTGTTGGTAGCAGGCCACAGCCAGCAGCAGCAGCACACAAAAAAAGTCGACCCATTAGAGCAGACACATACATACAATGGATGTGGACACAGACCGACCACAAAAGAACAACTCGACACACTACTCACCCACTGATCTATAGCCCATCATGGCAATGTTGCGTTCTTTTGGTGGCATTTTTCTGTTGCTATTCTTTTGTTGTTCAACTTTATTTATTGTCCTTAATTAAAATATTTCTTAAATAATGTTATAAGTTTCAAGTCACTTGTTCTCTAAGCAATTCCAATTTAATATTAAATCAACTCTACTCTGTTCTCTCTCTCCCTCTCTCGCGACGACAACGACGACGTTTAATCAAACCTCACCTAAAACGTCAATGTGCTTAGGGTTGCCAATTCAAATCGAAACAACAATGCAGAGGAAAAATGAAAAGAAGGGAATAATTAAAAATCTTTTTTATAATTACAAAAACTAATATTACTATATTAAACATAAATTTTAATGAATTTTAACAGGACATTTAATGATTTAGGGTAACAAGGGCATATAAACTGAATGGTAACACTGCATTCATAACAAATGTCCCCAGCCATTTAGCTGTTATCAAAGTAGAGCCACAATCATTTTGTTTTAGCATTTTATAAATTTCAGGGCTGTAATCGAAATTTTTCTTTATATTTTCTAAGAATATTTTTGATAAAGTTAAAAATGAAAATGTCTGGGGTTTGCGCGTGATTGAAAGAAACAATTGTTCGTTTTTACATGTGCATGTGTTTATTGAAATAAACACATTAAAACCCGTTTTATGTCACTTTTTGATAATTTTCTCCATTCTAAGAAGCATATTGTTTTTTTTTTTTTTTTTGATTTTTTTCTACAAAATAAAAGTTAAAAGTACATTTCGAAGGGGACAATTTTCATTTTAAATTTTTAAAGTTGGATATTGTCAATGAAGTGTTATGAAAAAAAGTGTATATTATGTTAGCATGCGATTGGCTTGAAAAATTTTGCAACAATTGGTATAAACAACATTTTTATCCCTATATCTCGCGCATTTAAATAAAAAATATTTTTTTAGTGCCAAGAAATATTCTTCCAATGGTACACTCAAGGTAACCTGATTATAAAAATGAATATCCAGCACTGCACTTTTCGGTAATTTGCCTTGTCAAATGTAACATCATATCAATATAGACTATAGGCTCAGATTATCACATCTCTAATTGTGGTATTTTTTGAGGAGCCTCAATGTGGTGGATAGAAACATGTACTATATATTGAAAATCTGCTTTTTGACTATATAGATGTACAATTAAGATTATTAAAACCAATATTATGGAGATAGAAATTAAATTAATTACAATACTGGCTATTTACGTCAACTATGGCAACAATGCAAATAAGAGTATTAACATTGTTAATCCAAACGGAAGTGGTAACACTGAATTCATGGCAAATGACTGTTGACATAACACAAACTCAAGGCAAAACCCATTATGTTAATTTAAATTATTATATATTTAAAATAAAATGAAGATCATTAATAAATAAAAAAAAAACTAAACATGCATACAAAATAAAAAGCCAACATTGTAATTAAATTAAATGAAAATAAGAGTGTTAACATTGTTCATCCAAACGGAAGTGGTAACACTAAAATCATGGCAGATGACTGTTGGCACAACACACTTATTTTTATGTAAATTACTATATATTTAAAATAAAATGAAGATCTTTAATAAATGAATAAAACTAAACATGCATACAAACAAAAATAATGTTAAAACAAAGCAAGAAGCTATCAATACCCTGTGAATGCCATTGAAATTCTAAATGGATAATTTACCATTAATCTACTACATTTCTTGCGAATTATCGTAGCAAAACAAAATCATAAAAAATAAAACATTTTGGCGTTGCCATACTTTTGTTCACATACTTGACGTTTAATTTTTTTCGTCTTCTGCTGAAAGTTATTTGTTAGTAATTTAAGAGTACATTTCGTTTGGAGTTCGATCCGATAGAAACCGGGCAGCCATGTCTCTGACAATGAAATTGTTTTCCATTACAAGAAATGGTAATTGAAGATAAAAACATAGAATTTCCCCAAAAATTAAAGCAAAAAATGAAAATAAAACAAACAGTGGTATCGATTGTTTTGGCCAGCAAAAAATATTTGAGGTTAGGGCCACTTATGTCATCAAAATGAAAACAAAAGTTAATCCAGTGGTAATTGGAAGGATATTAAGGAAAATTGAAAGTGGCCAAATGGATAGTGTGAAAATGGAATATGTTAAACGCCCATATACAGGGCTACCATAACACAAAGGGCATTACAAAGTGACATTTGTTTACAAAACTTTTGGCAATTAAGCTAATTATGTTGTTATTGTTTTAGGCAATCGCATGCTTGGTGTCACCTCCCGTTTCATGAGCACCAAGGAGGCCAAAGATATTGTCGATGTGCCCAAGGGTTATGTCTATGTCAACAACAAAGAAGAAAGCATGGATTTGAATGATGTTACCGACAGAGCAGCCAGTACCATTTTCTTGGCCGAATTAATGCGTGGCTTTGGTGTTACATTGGCCCACATTTTCAAGGAGCCAGCCACCATCAATTATCCCTTCGAAAAGGGACCATTGAGTCCTCGTTTCCGTGGAGAACATGCTCTCCGCCGTTACCCCAGCGGTGAGGAACGTTGTATTGCCTGTAAATTGTGTGAAGCCATTTGCCCGGCTCAAGCCATTACCATTGAGGCTGAGGAACGTGCCGATGGCAGCAGAAGAACAACACGTTACGATATTGATATGACCAAGTGTATCTATTGCGGTTTCTGTCAGGTGGGTGTTTTGAAGATTAATACCTTTTGGAAAAAATTAGAATTATATTTTTCGAATTTACAGGAAGCCTGTCCCGTCGATGCCATTGTTGAGGGACCCAATTTCGAATTCTCCACTGAAACCCATGAAGAATTACTATACAATAAGGAAAAATTGCTAAGCAATGGTGATAAATGGGAATCGGAAATTGCCTCCAACTTGCAGGCCGATCATTTGTATCGTTAAAGAATACGAACAAATGAACTGAACAACAGTAAACTCTGTTATTCCTTAAAGGATTTAGCAAAATAAACTTTCCCCCTTGTATAAATGTTGTGTTAAATGGATTAAAGTTTAATATTTAGTTTAAAGAAGAAAAAAACTTAAACGCTGTTTACTTAAGTCAACATCAAAAAGTTTTGAGTTTTGGTTTGTTGTTTTTTTTTTTAATAACACTTTAGAAAAAACATTGAAAATTAATACAAATAGGTTAGCTTAGTTTAATATAATGCCCTCCTTTTCTTTCTCTTTTGTTGCTAAATGGAAGTCTGTCTGTCAAGTTTTATAGAACTAAAAATACTTTTTTTTTTGCTTGATACGCCTATTGTCCTGGACCGGACAATGATTTTTCCATGAACTTCTTTTTGGCAAAACAGATCCACCATTTGTTGGGTTTGCCATCTTCGCCGAAAACTTTTTCCAATACCCGGTTACCAGTTTCATGTCTCAATTGCAAAATATATTGGCGCATTAAATCTGAAAGCAGCAAAACAGAAAAAAAAACATCAGTAACTCCCCAAAAACCATACCACATTTTGCTAACTACCAGTTTCCTGAGCAGTTTGGGGCTTGGCATAGACAGCATTCAAAGGGAATCCAGCCTCGCCGGGTATATCAAATTTCGATATGGCCAGGCTGTACATTTCCTGTTGGCCTTGATTCTTATTGGCACATCGCTGTAACTTTTTCAAACATTCCGTAATATAGAGGGTAATATAAATCAAGGTGCGATCGACTTCAGACTACAAGAAACCAAACAAATTAACCACTATAATCATATAATTCCAAGCATAATTCTTACCTTTATTTCATAGGTTCTAAAGAAAACATTCGCTTTGAAATAATAAAGTGACTCATCAATGATATCGTTATCATTATTCATTTGTTGTGGAGCTGGTCCCCTGAATTGGGTCCTCAAAGGCAATATGGCCATGTTGCCCACCGTTGAGGGGAATTCCTTTATTGTGGAATGATATGCCTGAAAAAAAAAAAAACATTGGAAATATTAGAAAACTCCAAGAGAAGAAGGAAAACAATTTTTCAACATTCTTCCTTTAACCCCACCCCTTCTTGTTTGGGTATATTAGGTAGATCGCTTTTAAAACAGCATTCACATATTTCCTTAACATTACTTTACATACCGGCATTGTGTTTATGGTTTAATTCCTTTAAAAATGCAATAACTTTTGTTAATATTTATGTTTTTTCATTTACAATGAAAATATAGGTTGACTCCTACTCGGTGTCAAAACAATTGGCCGCTATTTGACAGAAAATGTGTCATGTTGCAGAGAGGTTGCCATTCTCATCGATTTTCATGTGAAACGGAGTGGCAAAAGTTAAGTGGTGTAGTCACACATAAAACTGTCTCTCATGCATTGGTCCGACCCAAAAGAGAATTAAAAAAATGAAAGAAATATCTGAAAACACATTATCCATGCTACAATAAAGAGATAAACAATTTCATAAATACTATTAAAATAAATCTGCGATGACATGTCCGCTTTCTGTCTGAATTATTTGAAATGACATGCAAAAGAGCTTCTTATTTATTGGATTTTTTTCTTAATTTTTAAAATCAATTTAAACATGGCATTAATATGAATTAAATACATTGATATATGATCAAAGAAGTATTAATTTTCATGCCAAAACTTGTTATAACAATTATTTCCTATTAAATACGCCATAATTTTTAATTTTTTTTTTTTAATTTTAGTGAATGAAAGCAAAAAATGTCGGAAATAGCATCAAATTTTAGAATAAGTTTAGATTTGTTCGAATTGGTCACCTTTGGTACGAATTAAAGCTTTCAAACGGCCAATGAGACCGGCACACACTGCCCGAATGTTGCTCTGCCGTATTTTGGCCTATTCCCAGCGAAGCGCTTGCTTGAGGTGATCGACACTTTGGTATTTTTTAGTGCCAAACTTGCTTTCCAAAATACTCCAGACACAATAGTCCAACGGATTGGTATCCGGAGATTTTGGTGCCCATTGTGCGCTGGAAATGAACCGAGGAACTTCCTTTTGTAAAAATTCTTGGGTGGCGCGTGCTGAGTCCTGTTGGAGTGTTCAAGGTCTGCGGTCAAGATGTTTGCGTGCCCAAGGCTTTAATACACCCTCCAGAATATTTTCGCGGTAATATTCGGTATTTATTCTGACGCCATGGTCGATTAATACGAGTGTAGAGCGACCATCGGATATTATGGCGGCCCACACCATCACCATGGCCGGCGCTTGAGTTCTGGTGGCCAACCGAAGGTGCACATTTTCAGCTGACCTCTTTGGCAAGTGAACAAGATCATTTTGTATATTTATAAACTGCTGGACAACGAATGTTTTCTTATCGGAAAAAACCAAATTAGGCAGTTCACCACTTTCAGCCAAGCGAAGCAACTCTTTAGCTCTTTTCAGTTTATTTTCTTTCAACTGCGGTGTAAGTTCTTGCATTTTTTGGAATTTCAATGGCCCCGAGCTCATTTTTCAATATTTGCCGAATGGAATATTGCGATATTTTCAGGTCACAAGCCATTTTTTCGCCCAATGCGACGTAGGTTTCGATCAAGTCGCTTCTTTACTTTTCGAACCATTTCTGCTGATGTTGCTGTTTTCTTCCGTCCACTTCCCTGATGTCGGGCTTTGCTACCAGTATCAGGGTAAAGAACAATGGTACGAGACAAAAGAGTTTTTCACACTTAAATACTGGAGTGCTATAACGATAGCCACTTGTGGAAATACATAAAGCGCTTATCTTGCTGGCTCAAGTCATCGGCTGGCTTCTTCGGAAATGAAAAAAGGAGCCTGGGCCAAAATCGAAATAAGTCAACCTAAAACTCCTTTGTTCATCTACGAAACTCCTTTGTTCATCTAAGCCAGTCAAAAAAGCGTTTATGCATTCTCACCTTTATTGTGTTGCCAGACAGGTCTTTACAGTTGTTTCCCGTAAATTAATTGGCAACCCTACCCCTGAGCATTTGGTAACCAGGTAATTGACAACCCTTTGTTTACTTACAAAACACTGTTGTTTTCGGAGAGAGGAATTTTAATTTTAGCGCTTTATTCGACAAATTCAATTTTGTTATTTTATTAAATTTGACTAATTGCATCAATTCAATAGAAAGAATGTAAAGAAACCTCATATAAAAATGTTACAAAACGACTTAAATGACAGTGCCTCATCGAACATAAACATTCCGATGCTATCCGGCATACAAAAGGACGATATTGTTAAACGTCTGGAACAGCTAAACAAATGGCAAGAGGAACAGAAAAAAATATTAACTCTACGGCAAAATATGCAAAGACAAATGCTGGGCATGGAACAAAAGACAATGTATCAAATGCTGGGCCTGCAATGTGATGGAGAAATGAGTGAAATCGATGAGAGTAGGCAGGAGGAGAATGGGGCAGAGCACCCAGAGGAAGAGGAGGAAGAAAGTCAAGATCATAGCTATGCAGGAAGGGACCAAAACACACAGCTGAGTGTAGAACCATCTTTGTACAAAACCCTGACATCCGGCTATGGCACAGAGGAGTATATGGAAATACCAGCAGCCGTGCAAAAACCCAAAAGGCCATTCTTGAAAAGGGGAGAAGGCCTAAAACAAAGGTTTAAAATCGATCCCGAAGAGTTGAGAATAACAAATTTGCCACGTTACAAATATGCCAATGCTCATCCCAAGCTAAAGACAAAGCCCAAGAAGCCGCCCCCAGGAAAGAATTTTAAAACTACAAAGCCTCCATCTCCCATTCCTTCGGGTGCCTTGGATGCAAATGAGAAGAGATTCCAACAGCTACTGATATCCTCGAAGAATGTGTGCAATTCAACACCGGACACAAAGTCATCATTGATGTCAAGCAAAAATATTTCCAGTAGTTCGTCGGCAAATAGCACGAGCACTTTGCCCAAGGTACGATTTGTTGAAACAACCCCTTTAATGGAAAATAGAGGAACCGTTAATGTCCAGAAATATCCCAACAATGAAGCGGCAAGGCAAGTCCCCACCGCCTTGGCTTGGTCTAAAATTTTAGATTCCCAGCAAATAAAGCCTTTGCCAATTTTACGTTCAAGTGCCAGCCAAAATTTACCCCAAAGTGAGGAGGATATTTTCGAGCTTTTGGAACAAAAGGCCAAGAATGGTAGTTTTGACATGGACTCGACATGTATGCGTCAATTTATGCAGCGTCGGACAGTTGAGAAATTTGATGACACCGATGTCATTCCCGTCAACGATCAATTGAGGGCGAGACGTCTACAACCTGTTGTTGTGGGGCAAGCTGAGCACAATGAATCCTCAACTACACTGGAGGAGGAGGAAACGACAGCAGGTGCCGAGGATTCAACAATTGTTCCCAACAGCACCGAAGCCGAAGAGGAAGCAGAGTCCAGACAAAAGTCGCTGGAATCGACTAATTCTCCATTTGTGACTCCCGCCTCAAAACATAACACTGAGCAGCGTGTACGCTTCTCTGAGTCCCACGATACCAGAGAATATTATGAAGAAGAATCTGTTAGTGATTTTTCCAACAATACCAATAACCATGGGGAACAGAGTGGCGATCTTTCCAACAATATGTTTTTCGAGCAATTTAAAAAGGCTCTCTTTGCGGCCCTGCAAGACAAGGCAGATCAACATGAAAACTTGAACTCTGTGACGGGGGATGAAACCACTCTCACATCCAAGGAGTCCTCCTTTGTTGAACCAAACACACTCCCACCTCAAGTTTCCTTGGAACTACAGGAAAAAACAAATCTAATTAAAATCCGCCTCGAAGAACTGGAAAAAGAAATTGCAATTTTCAAGGAGAACAATTTGCAGCTAATGAAAGCGAAGCAGGAACATGAACTGCTCATCTCTCAACATGCCCAGGAACAATTGGAGGCAAGCGAACGCCTCAAAGATGAACGAATACAAATGGAGTTGTATTTGCACGATGAACGTATGAAATTGGAAGAGGACAAGCGTAAATTTGAACAGCAATGCAAAATGAAAACTCAGGCCGCGGCATCAAAGGAACGCAAAGAAATGGAAAAGCTACGAGAGCAGGTTGCCCAATTAGAAGCTCAGTTGAAAACGAAAGATTCGAATCATGCCGCTGCCCAGGCTCGTTGGCGTACCCAGTTGCGCACGATGGAAAGGGAAGAGAAACGTTTACACGAACAAATCGAAATCCTCACCAAGGAGAATAAACGCCTGGAAAATGAGGCAGTGAAGGCTAGCCGAGAGAATAACAATAAATTACTGCAGGAGATCAATAGGAACATTGCCAAACTGGCACCTAAACAGGTGAGTGAAAATGAGCTGTTAAGAAACGTTTCTAGAGGCGAGGTGCTTTCCCGACGGCGCCTTTCCAATAGTATGCTTGCTTCTTAGAAACATTTTCGAAAAACTGGTTGCATCTAAGGATCATTTACCAGGAAAAGGTTATATCAAAGAGCTTTTTTTGAGGGAAATTCTACTTTTAAGAATTTTTGCCAAGGGGAAAGCTCTTCGCAGGCGATTTTCCCAAAGAATGTTGTTTCCAAGGCAGTTTATTTATAGGAAAGGGTGGCTCTGATGACCTTTTGGGATTCTTCTAAGGACTCGAAAGGAGCATTTTCGAGGGAAAAGTGGTGGAATAGACAATTCCATGGAAACGGCTGCTTTCGGAAGCTCTTGTCAAGAGAAAGTTTTCATTTATGAGGTATGCCGTTCCAAAGTAGCTGTACCTATCAAAGCTTTTGAACGTCATATCTCTGGATGTTAAGTGTTCTTCCACGGGGATATGAATTTCAGGAGATTTTTCCTAGAACAGGGTTAATATTAGAACCCTTTGCAAGGAAGAATAAACTTCCATTCTTGAGACGCATTTAATTGTCTCCCTTTATTCCCTTCTTTTATTATATTTTACTTTACACTTTTTCTTTTTTTCTTCTCACAGACTCAGCATGCCTCCATCTCATTTCCAAACGACGATCAACCCCCTGTTCTGCCCACTTCAAAAATTATACCAAATAAAAATTCCAAGACGTCTCCCTCGAAGAAACACAAGAGACCAATAAAGGCCAATGTCAGCAATCGTACGCCAAAACAAAGTCACAGTTTTCCCGAAACTCCTTCGTCGGATGAAAATGTTTCCGATTCTGAAACAAAATTCCAAAAACGGGCAACAAAAAGTCCTCAAGGTAAAATCCAATATGACGTTGGCGAAGAGGATGATGATGATGATATTCTAAAGGAGTTGCAGACAACTAAACCCCTCCGCCCAACTCCAAACGTCGATGCAACAAAAACGACCAAATCGAACGAAAATAAATCTCCCGGTGATGATGACAATATGAAACGAGAAATACTCAATGCTGATGGTAGCAAAGACATTTGGTACCCCAATGGGAATTTGAAAAAAATCTCAGCCGATGGCATGCTGATAAGGATGCTTTACTATAACAAGGACATAAAGGAGACGAATATCAATGAGGGTACTGTCAAATATTACTACCATGAAACAAATACCTGGCACACCACATATCTGGATGGTTTGGAAATTTTAGAATTTCCCAATGGCCAAATCGAACATCGTCATAAAAACGGTTTAGTTGAGGTCCACTATCCCAATAACTCGATAAAAATTATGGATCCACGCGATGAAAAGAAATCAGAGGAATGGCGTTTCCCGGACGGTACGCATCTGGTGCAAATGCGTAATGGTGATAAAATCCTATCCCTGCCAAATGGCCAAAAGGAGATACATACAAAACTACAGAAACGTCGTGAATATCCAGATGGTACGGTGAAGATTGTCTATCCGGATGGTAGTACAGAGACACGGTATTCCAATGGCCGGGTTCGTCTCAAAGATAAAGAGGGGAATTTGGTAATGGACACAGAGGAGGGAAAATAACCTTTTATTTAATTTAGTGTTTTTTTTGTTAGACATATTTAACACATGACCATCTGAAAGCAAGAATTGTGTGTATAAACAAAGTAGACTGTTTTCTAATTTAAAAAAAAAAATAAAACTTAATTTATTATTTTATAAAAATACAATTTCATAAGATTTAAAACACAGTTTTAACTTCAGTTTAGTTTCTAGTTTGTTTTACATATCGAAAATATTTCTGCAGGTTCCTTCATCGCCTTCCTCCTCTTCGGGTGGATCGAAATCGTGCACCTTAACATCGGCATCTTCTCCATATTGTATGACATTGTCTATTTGCAGTAATAGATCCTGTATACTCTCCTCATCGTCCACATTCATGGGCACGAAACGTACTAAGCTGTAAAAAAAGAGGAGGAATATGAGTTCATAAGCTTTCTTTTTCAGAGTGGATGTATTTTTAATATTTATTTTACAAAATTTTGTCCTAGCTTAGGAGCGTCCTTTTAGAACTTTTTCTCTCGGAAGAATTAAGTTTTTTCTGGTCCTTTTTAATAGTAAAGGGCTCTGTTAAGTATGCTATTATTAAAAAGGGAATTATTGAGGATTTATTTAATATTATCATTTTTACTTGTATTCTCCTCCCATTCGGCCCAAAAGTCATTGTAGACCACTGCCCGGTTTAAGTTTCATGTAATTTGCTTTAATTTTTAAACAATTTGAGAGTCCATAGCGCTTCAAATGTGTATTTTTAATTTATTTCCAAAAAAGGCGGGAAATATGAAGTAACTGACAACAGACGAAAGCAGTGTTGCCATCGTAGTAAAATCGAGTCTCTTCTCACGAATAATTTTACTGTTTTCTTTTTCCCGTTTTTCTCGGTATGTTTATTACTACCGCTGCTAGTGGAATTTTCTATGATACACAATTAACCAACAAGTCTTGCTAAAGTATTAATATTAAATAATCTTATAGCTAACAATAATTTACTTTCCATACATAATACAAGTCTTTAAATAATAAGTCTTCTTGCCACAAAATACCAACTTTTTATCATCTTTACAAGTCATTGAAATTATGCCTACAGTGCAAAACAAAAAAATTGTTGCCAACGCACTTAAAAAATGTTCAGTCTGCAGCAACACTTTCCCAACACATGGATTGTTTTCCCTATTCTCTCGTCTCTTACCAACAATTGCCCAAAAAATACCCACATGCATAACAAACTCTGCCCATTTAATGACAGACTACCACTACAAGCACTAAGGGGATTTTTATAACAGAGCATAAATACAATTATTGCCATCTCTTTCTGACACACAGAATTTAAATGCAACGCAATATGGCCTATAGACAATACCAGAGAATGAAGAAACGAAATACCTAAAAACAGAATGTAAATTGTTGGAAAAAAGGCAAAACACTGCAAATGTAGAAGAGATTACACGAAAGATTTTTTGGGAATTTTTGCCAATTGAAATTAAAAAATTAATAAACCAGTTACATATATAAATTTAACAAAATAAGCTTTTGCAAAGAGAAAAGTAAGTGGAACGTCGTAAGTAAATAACCCACAAATTGGGAAAAAACCACGCCTGTCAACTTCCCCTGCAACTTCCCAATCAAGGCAAAACTTTTTATCGGAATTCTTCTTATTTCAGGAACAAAATATAAATAGAAATTCCCCAATTGTGTAAAATGGAATCCCCTAAATTGGAAATGCTAAGATCTGTCAAGGGAAAGGATATGCTTTTGTTTGATGGCTATCTGTATCACTATGATGATCGTACAACTAAATCATATCGCTGGGTTTGTTCACGGCGCAAGGATAACCCACCATGCCGCGTAAGAATGCATACCTCTCTAATTGATGAATGGGACTTGACACGCCACAAATTGGAATCGATTATTGGAGAACATCCTCATGGCCCAGCTGATGAAGCGGCCATAATCAGAGCACGAGAAAAGAAACGTCAGGCAGATGCTGAGAACCTGCCCTGTACGTTGAGCAACAAGTCTTTGAAAAGGAAATATCAAATGCAAAAGGGAGGAGGAGGAGGGGGCGGAACTGTGGCTAAAAAGACAAAACCCGTAACGGATGATGAGGATAATGTTTCCAGTATTGATGGTATCATTGAAATGGACAGCAGTTTTGAGTTAATGCCGAATTCCAAACCTGCTGTGGGCAATAAATCTGTGCTAATGTTAAAAACGGCCAAAGGCTATCACATGATAGCTGTAGACGGCTGTGTATATCGCCTAGATGGTAAATCTATGATAAGTTGCACCTATCGTTGGAAATGTTTTCGTTCAAAAGATCTACAGTGTACAGGACGCATCTACACTGAGTGTCTGGCAAGTGGCATGCATCGTTATAAACCATTTCGGGTGGATGAAAATGAACACAATCATCAGCCTTATACCGAGGCGAAAATTGAGGCCCTCATCCGAAGAAATAACATACAGATTATCCGTGGCAAAGAGGATAACAGGAAAGACGGCGATGAACTCAAAGCCACACCATATAAAAAGAATGCCCATAGCCTTCCTTTGTCGGCGGCATATAGTGGTGGTGAAGGTGTTCTCTCCATATCCACAAATATAGAACTTCCAGAAACAAAGCATGGCAGCACCGGCAGCCGCAAAGACAAAGCGGCGGCCACGGCAGCCCAATATCGTTATGTCAAAAATCCAATGGAAGTTTTTAAAAACCCACAGCATGGCGAGGTCAAGCTGTTCTCCTTTTTGCCATCTTTCAAAGGAAATCGGGTTCTAATTTTGGAAAATATGATCTATCACTTTGATACCAGGGGTGGACGTAATGGACGTATCTATTGGACGTGTTTTGATAAAGTTCTGCGCTGCAATTGTCGTGTGACCACCGAAAATGTCGGTGATAAAATACAAATAGTTAGGGTATCTGGTGAACATAGCCACTCCCAGGATCATCGTCAACACATCGACAAGAGAATTAAAAAGATTTTATCTTTTCGAAATCAAACGGGAAAGCTGGAAGAAAATAATCCTTTTGGCAATGATGATGACGTTGGCGACGATGCCAATCCTTTGTTTCAATCGGATGAAGACAATGATGATGGGGAGGGAGATAAGGAGGATCGGGAGAAGGTTGATTTTAAGAAACATAAACCCGATTCGACAACGGCAGATATTTCTGAGCTATTACGTTTAAATAAATTGAAAAAAGAAAAACAAGAAGAAATTCTAATGGAAATTCCGGTAACCACCAAAGGTAAATCAGAAGAAGAGATTATGGAAATCTCAGAGGGTGTTGTCTTGGCAGAGTATAAAAATGAAACAGATCCATTTTACGATACCATTGAATATGTGGAAGTGGAAAGAGTTAATAATAGCTCACAATATCAACAAAGTGATTTATCCTCAGAAGAGTCGGAAGATCAGAATCATATACCGCTGCCCAAGGCCAGAAGAATCAAGCACAAAACCAAACGTTCCATGGATTACGAGACGGGTGGAGAGGGGGATGATACGAATGAGGAAGATAATGCCTTTGGAGATGACGAAGAATATTCACCATCAACAGCAGCCAAACAAAAAATGGCCAGTAATTATATTACCCCTACCCGACGTTCCCGCTATCCCCATCAAAGCCATAATCCCGATAATATTGACATAACCAAAGTCTCCAAATTACGTTCAGCCAAGGGTGGTGAATTGTTGTGTGTCGACGGTTATATTTATCATTTGAAAAGTACTTCCAACACGACACGTACCTATTGGTCTTGCATCAAGTCTAAGGATCGTCGGCTCAAGTGTCCGGCTCGAGTTACCACCGTCACCTTGGAGGGTAATAAATTAACTGTGGATTATCTAAGTAATTCTCATTCACATCCAATATCGGAGGATGATATTAAGAAGCGACTATTCAATGAATTTGCAAAATCTTCAAAGAAATCGTTTAGGGCAAAGGACATTATGGATAAGCCATTGAGTGAGTTAAATCCACAATTTGCTCAAATGTTAAAGGGGAAGTCCAGAGAAAGCTTAAGCAACAATGACACTACTGGGGAGTGTGAGAAAACCATGTAAGTAAAAAAAATCGAAAAATATTTTCTTTATTAATGCCCTTCTATCCTGTAATTTGTTTTGCATTTCTTCCAGGTTAAATATAAAACTTTATGCTGAATCAAATGGCCCACAATCTTTGGCTGTTCGCATGTGCTTGCAGGCCTTGGATATACCCCATGAATTGCACATTGTAGACCACGTTTCTTCGGAACATTTGCCAGAGGAATATGTCAAGGTATGAAAAAATATCAACGTAGAAAGAGCCCAACAAAAATCTAAATTCCTCCACTCTTTCCAGAAGAATCCCCAAAAAGAAGCCCCTGTTTTGGATGATGATGGATTTTATCTATCCGAAAGTATTGCCATCATGCAATATTTATGTGAAAAATATGCCTCCGATACGAATCTGTATCCCAAAGATCCCAAGGAGAGAGCTTTGGTTATGCATCGTTTATGTTTTAATATGTCTTCATATTACCCGAAAATTTATGCCTACAACCGCGAACGTTCTGAAATGGCAAAAGATAGGCTGGAAAATATTCTGCTAGTACTGGAAAACCATTTAAAGACACTGGGTAAAAAATATGCTACTGGTGATAGCTTGACACTTGCCGATTTGTCTCTAGTTTCGTCGACGTCTGTGCTGCAGGTTCTGGAATATGATTTATCAAAACATCAATTGATTAGCAAGTGGTATCAGACATTTAAACGGGAATATCCTCTGCTGTGGGACATTGCCCAGGAGGGTATTGCGGATTCGAAACATAATTCAGAGGAAAAACTATAAAAAAATTGAAAATCATAAATCCTGGAACGTCGCATGGATGTTTCTATGTTTATATTATTATTAAGGGGTACGTAGTAGTTAAGAGTGTACAGTTGTAGATTACGATAACATTTTAAATGTTTATAGATTGCATTGTAAAAAAAATAAATTTTTTAATTATTTCAAATAAGGAATTCTGGCATTAATTTATTTCCATTTCCACAGCGCACACAATTGTGGGTTTAAACAATTTTTTATGAAATCCTATCAGTCATATCTGAGCATTTTCTATAAATATGTTTTAAGGACTCTGGGAGCCTTTTCAAGGACATAAAGGACAGAAATATAAGTGCGGACATGTTCCAAAAAGTATTTGTCTTCTATTCGAAAAATACAGGGTGAGATAAAAAAAACTGCAAACAACTTCAGACTGCTGTCATTTCCAAGCTACTTGTCCGACAGCTGTAAAAATGATTCCATTTCCCGCGTGATAGTGCGAACTCTATATTTGGCTGGAAACACCCAAGTGGCTTTTAAATGTGAATAAATCTTTTGTGTCTCGTACCATCGCTCGTTTCCGTGATACTGGTAGCGTAGCCCGACGTCAAGGAAGTGGACAGAAGAAAACAGCAACATCATCATGGTTCGAGAAGTAAAAAAGCGACTTGATCGAAACCCGCGTCGCGTCGCAGTGGTCGAAAAATGGCTCGTTAGCTGAACATATCGCAATATTCCATTCGGCAAATATTGAAAAATGAGCTGGGGATAAAGCCAATGAAATTCCAAAAAGTGCAAGAATTTACACCGCAACAGAAAGAGAATAGACTAAAAAGAGCTAGAGAATTTGGTTTTCTTCGATGAGAAAACATTCGCCACAGTTGTCCAGCAGTTTGTATACAAACAAAATGATCGTGTTTTCTTGCCAAAGAGGTCAGTTGAAAATATACACCTTTGGTTGGCCACCAGAACTTAATCGACCGTGACATCAGAATAAATGCCGAATATTATATTTTGGAGGGTGTATTAAAGCCTTGAGGACGCAAACATTTTGGCCGCAGACCTTGGACATTCCAACAGGACTCGGCACGCGCCACACAAGAATGGTTACAAAATGAGGTTCCTCGCTTCATTTCCAGCGCACAATGGCCACGAAAATCTCCGGATACCAATCCGTTGGACTATTGCGTCTGGAGTATTTTGGAAAGCAAGGTTGGGACTAAAAAATACCAAAATGTCGATCACCTCAAGCAATCGCTTCGCCGATAATGGGCCAAAATATCGCAGAGCAACATTCGGGCAGCGTGTGACAGTTTTATTGGCCGTAATTCGTGCCAAAGGTGACCAATTCGAACAAATATAAAATTTGATGCCTCCGACATTTTTTGCTTTCATTCAATAAAATTTAAAAAAAAATGTAAAAATTATGGCGTTTGACTTTGTTGCAGTTTCTTTATCTCACCAACTCGCCCTGTTAGGTCATTTACTTTGGAGGGAGGCTGGTCCCCCTTTTCAGATAGTTTTGTTCACTTTGCATGAAGAAGGTAACTTTTTGCTTGTTTGTAGTCCGTTTATGTCTTTAAATATCTTTTATATCTTTTAAAATATTATTTTGTATTAATGATTTTGGGATTCTATTTCATTTCAATTTATCACAAAACGTCTCTTGTTTGGCGGCAATTCGATGCCAATGTTGAGGGTTGCCATATTTAAATTTCTGGTTCCCAATTGTTTTCTCTTTGAGGGATATTCATTTCTCCTAACTCTTTAAGTGAAATACATCAACAGAAACGAAAAGGCAATTTCCACAATGCAAAAGAAACTGTTGCCAATGCACTTAAATTTATGTCATTAAGACCACAATAATTCCCTACCATGTTGATTGTCTACCCACAAACATATCAACCGGTAAATTACGACATTAACACAGGTATTTTACAATACAAAACAACATTTGTATTGTTATTATGAAGGCAAGAACTGCAACAACAAATCATGCACTTTCTACCTTAAAATATAAGACTTAAATAATTTAAGTTTATTAGCTTAGTTTTAAAATATATAAACGCTAATCATTACCATTGTTAGATACTGTCTTGAATAAACAATAAATAATTCCAATTTCAATTAATTTTTAAGTTATTATGAATTAACCGCCAAAGGTATCAAAAGAACCAAAAAAGGGTTACCCACACCTACTTTAACTTCATGCATTTGGCGTAAAATTAATGGACATTATTAAGGGTTGCCATACCCGCATATTTTGTTCACACATCATCATTTGGCCAGCCATAGCGTAAGAGGGGAATCATACCAACACACTCCGCCACAAAATATTACCAAATTTGCCTTTAAGATGGCAACGCAATAATTAAAAAGAGTTGCCATACCCAATATCCATGTTCACCAAACACACATTTGGTCGGCGGCGGTGGCAGTGTAAAGGGGAAAAAATAATACCGCACATACAAACCCACAAACATGGAAAGAATATCAATGAGAGAATAATAGAACATAGCTGTATAGCCTTCTCTTTCTAACACACCTAATGAAATGCGAAGTGAGGAGTATTGCTGCCGAGAATGTCAACAAATGAAAAAAAAAAGAATACCAAAAAGCAGAACAGCCATTATTGAACAGAAACAAAATACGACCAATGTGTGGATAAAAGTGAAAATTTTAAGAAGTTTTTTGGGTCATTTAATTGAATTTGATATATTTTATTTACAAAAACTGTATACAATTTGTGAGAAAAGTGCTAACAAGAATTAAAAAGGAAACTACAAGAAAATACCATCATTGATAACAAACAGAACACAGCACGACTTTACTTCGACACCAAATACCAAATATTGAAAATATTGGCCAAAAATTAGTTTCAATTGGCCCCAATTCTCTACCAAAAACATAAACATAATTTTGCCCATTGGATATTGAAAATATCCGAAAAAATACCCAAATTTGTGAGAAATGGAAAGTCCACAATTGGAAATGTTACGCTCCGTCAGGGGTAGGGATATGTTGTTGGTAGCAGGCTTCCTTTACCACTATGATGAGATGACCAAACACTCCTATCGTTGGGTTTGCACTCACCGCAATCGCAGTCACTGTCATGTCCGTATCCACACGAATTTAATTGATCCAAGGGATTTGACCCGACACAAATTGGAAAGGACCTTGGGTGAACACAATCATGGCCCGGCCGAGCCAAGGGAAATCAATCGAGCAAGGGAAAAGAAAAGGGAGGCAGATGAGAAGGGTCTGCCATGCACTCTGGAAGCGGAGAAACAAAAGGAAGAAATGCAAAAGGACCAAGATGATGATGCAGCAGATGGTTGGGGAAACGATAGTGACAGTGATTATGCTTTGGACGAAGAACATAAAAAGAATGAAAGCGCAGAGCAGAAGAATACTTCTCCCAAGCCTGTGGAAGGTGCTGGCAGCGCAGGCGAAAAAAAGGTCCTGATGTTGAAGACAGCAAAAGGTTGTCACATGATAGCCGTCCAGGGTTGTGTCTATCGCTTGGATGGCAAATCTCTGGTGAGCAGTACCTATCGCTGGAAATGTTTTCGCTTTAAGGATCTGCAATGTACAGGCCGTGTCTACACGGAATGTTTGACAAGTGGCCTGCATCGTTATAAGGCCTTTAGGGAAGAGGAAAACAAACACAACCATGCTCCCTACAATAAAACCCAACTGGCGGTGTTGATTAAAAGGAATACCATAAAGATTATTCGAGGCAAAGAGGATATAAATGTCATACCAGTTGTGCCCGCCGCCAAGGAGCTAAAATCAAAAATTGGGGCCAAGGATAAGTTGCCGTTGGTTGCCAAGCGGCCTTTAGGGCCAGATGACGATACCGATTACGATGATGAGGCAGAACAAGATCCATTTTCAAAACCTCCGACCACAAAGAAACCCAGGCTTGGTAGCCGCAAAGAAAGGGCCGATGCCACTTCGGCCATGTACCGTTATGTCAAGGACCCCATGAAGGCGTTGAAGACTCCCCGGGAGGGAGAGGTGAAATTATTCTCCTATTTACCTTCGCAACAGGGAAAGTTAGTTTTAATCATGGACAATATGATCTTCTATGTCCATTCTAAGGCCAATCGCAATGATTGTATCTATTGGACTTGTCTGGATCGCAAGGATAAAATGGTCAATTGTAATTGTCGTTTGACAACGGAAAATTCAGGAGATAATATACGAATTGTGAGGGTGTCGGGTGATCATAACCACGCATTGGATCATCGCGATAAGATTGAGAAGAAATTAAAAATGAATGTCTCCCTAACGGGGGAGATTGGAAGGCCTACCTTTGGAAGAGACATTGATGATGATGGTTTTGGAGGAAATGCCGATGATGATGATTATTTTGGAGATAAACATGATTCTTCAAAGGATGATATCAATGCCTTGATAAATAGAATAATAGAGGATGAGGAAGATAGCCCAAGCATCAATGAATCGGCTGGGATGGAGAAGAAATTCACACCCTCCCCCCGAAAAGCCAATCAAATGCAGGAGGAGGAAAAGAAACCCTCAACCATTAAGCCACGCCAACTGAGGGGCTCTCGCAAAGCCCAAGCTGAGGCCACTGCAGCCCGTTATCGCTTTGTAAGAAATCCCCGGGAAGTTTTAAATAATCCGCCCGAGGCTGAGATAAAGCTATTTACCTATTTACCCTCCCAGCAGGGTAGAAAGGTATTGATTTTGGAGAAAATGATCTACTATTTGCATTCCAAGGGAGGACGCAATGAATCCGTGTACTGGACATGCCTAAATCGCAAGGATAAGCATATCAACTGTAATGCCCGTTTGATAACCCAAAATGTGGGCGATAAAATACAAATTATTAAGGTGACGGGAGAGCACACCCACACCTTTGATCATCTGCGGCAAATTGAGAGGAAGTTGAAAATGAATGTAAATATTAAAGAGGAGGGTGTTGATGATAATAATGATGATGAGGAAGCAGATGATTTTGGTGGTGATGATCACTTTTACGGAGGAGGTGACGAGGATGATGATCAGGATTCGTATGAAACTAAAAAGGCAAATGTCTCTGAATTCCTATGTTTGAATTATATCAAAAAAGAAGAAAAAACTGAAGAGCCACCAAAAGACTGGAATAAGGTGTCGCTATCTCTAAAAGAGGAAATGGATCCGTTGTTTGGTACCACCGAACATGTGGAAATACAGACCATAGAAAATAATCAATTTTTGGCCGAACATTCAGAGGATGAAGATCAAAATTATATACCACTACCCAAGGAGACGGCTGAGAAGAAACGAACAATTAAAAGCCAACGTTATTCCGAGGATGATGATGAAGAAGACGAAGGCGATTTCGATGATGACCAAGATGAAGATTATGTTGTCTCTAAAGCAATGTCACGCAAAGTGTTGCAAACAACTGCAGCTAATCCCGATAACATGGACATAAGTAAAACCTTTAAATTGCGTTCGGCCAAGGGTGGGGTTGTCCTGTGTGTCGATGGTTATGTTTATAATATGAAAAGTTTTTCTGCCGCCACCAAACGTAGCTATTGGGCTTGCGTCAAGTCGAAAGCGAATTCTTTGAAATGCCCGGCAAGGGTAACGACCGTCCAAACAAAGGATCGCAAAATTCAAGTTATACGTGTCACCAACTCCCACACTCACGAAGTCTGCGAGGATGACATTAAGAAACGACTGTACAATGAGTTCTCCAAACTATCGGATACAAGAAAATTGATGAGATCAAAAGATCTGTCATTGGATGAATTAAAACCAGAATTTGGACAATTGCTGAGGGGCAAAGGACTAAGTACGAGTACACCAATTAGGACGAGGAAAAAGATGTAAGTTTTTTGTGACTGCATAACATTAAATCGATTTTTTGTTGTAGTGGTTATATAAATTCGGTGTTCAAAGATCTGCTAGTGGGGTTCTGTTTCAATATTCAGATTTAAAAATTCAGTTACTCAGTTTTCTGGATTGAGTAGGGAAGGTTTGGAAGTGTGGCAAGAAAGAACCAGAGGAACAGTAGTGAGGTTCCAAAGGGGCCAAAGCAGCGTTATAAAAAGGCTACTAAGGACAGAAACAAAAACAGAGGTAAAACTCTTCAAATCAAGGTCCCTTATGTTAGGTCTACCGAAACAAAGATCAAAAAAAAAAATGTAGTGAAAGCTTAAACCGAAATCTCCCTTGCAACGATGGTGGAGGTGATGAAACAACAGATGGAAGTAACTACAAAGGAAGCTATGATAAGTGGGTACACTAAGGTCTTGTTGGTTGAGTTGGCAACAGCATTCACGAAGACGACTAAACCGCCCCAATGGCAGTGGCGGTAAAGAAAATGCCATTTACTGAGGAAATAAAACCTGGCGCCACAAAAAAGGTAACGAAGTACACGTTTCAACAAACTGTTTTGCATGCCTCAGGGCAACTGCCACCATCCCATCGTTATGGTGGGAAACCCTCTGATGGGAAGGCAAAAGTTGAACAGGTCGGTAAACGTAGGGACCCAAACCCGAAGCTGTATCATCCAGTAGCAATCATTAATCAGGCTTACCCAAATTCGTTTATAATCCCTGGCTTCTTATCGACAGGAAGATTCTGTGCATCTATCTTTACGATGTTGTTCGTGAAGAGCAAAGTACCGTTTGGCTGAACAGAAATCTACAGGGGCGCCAAGGTTATTATTTGTGCCAATATGGAGTGGGTGGGGGAGGACTCCGGGGACAGCATTCATACAGTAATATTTGATAACATCGGTAACTGCATCGGTATGAGTACCAATAAAAACTGCTTGATAGGCTTCTCGATCTAGTGGCCCACTCTCTCTTATATAGTAAGCCTCCCTCACCAAATGTTGCAAGTCCTTTTTAATGCTCCTGGTTGGGGGAGTTCTATCCACCATATTTTTAATGACTTCCATGACAACACCCCAGCAGGTACCGCAACGAAAACATATAATACGATGACGTATCAAAGAAAAATCGTCGTATGTAGATAGCCTATTGTTTTCATGGCAGCCGAGGAGTCATAGCTAACCACTGACCGGTCTGTCGCTTTATAAGGGGTCAATAAGGTCTTCATACCATCATCGCCGGCTAGCATTTTGAGGACCTTGTTTCTATTTTTCAATTTATCGTAGATAGTTGTGGACCCCTTGAATATGCTGTCGATGGTGACCACTAGGATCATGGGGTAGACTTTGGTCGTAAATGTGTGCCTCTCGATTTACTCATTCAGCTGAATTCTCATCTCAGCAGTCCATGTGATAAAAAGAATGGCAACAGATTTAGTGCCGGCTATTTTCACATTCCTTCCATATGTCATCAACGAAAGGACTGGACGTCATGATCGTGTATAGTTTACGATCTCTATACCGTCTCGAATTCGCGGAGTTCCAAAAATGTAGGCGTTATAAAGATCCAGAGATTTTAGCTCATTTTGGGGAACACCCTGTTTTGTTCAAATTTATCCAAAGGTTAGTTCCCTTGACGTCCTCAAATAAAGAAGCGTGATTGATTGATAAACGACTTTGAAGAGTTTAGAGCCACTAATATTGTTCTATGGTACGGCCTGAACTGGTCCTAACCCATGTTGATGATTAGCAACTAAATACCTTCCTCTAAAGGAGCTTTAAGAGTCTTGGCTAATCGTTGAAATTTTTTTATTTAAAATATGTCATATTTACGTGTCGTGTTTATATGAGGACGTCCTGATTCCTACCCATGTTCACAAAATTTGTTTGTAACCTAGGAATAATTTTATATGGAATATCAGAAGATGGGTGACCTTGTACCAGACTTGTGAAATCAGAAGAGTCTCTAAAGGCTCCTAAATAGTCAGAAGGGCCTACCACTGATCATCTGTCCTTCCATTTTCTGTAGTCTAATAGGATTTAAAGTTGGTCTTCTGTGTGTGTCAGAAGACCGCATCTACATAGAATAAGTTATTTACACCCGTTTATAAATGGGAGTTCTCTTTAAAGCCGTCATCAAGGATATATCCTTTACATCAAAAAAAAAAAAAAAAAATTGTTTCTTAAAAATCGCCCACCTTTTCATACAAAGAAACTTATCGATTATCTTCTAAAAAGAGAAACACTTTACAGCTCCTACAGGTTGAGATAAAAAACTACATCAAAGTCAAACGCCATAATTTTTACATTACAAAAAATTTCGGAAATAGCCTTAAATTTTAGATTAAGTTTAGATTTGTTCAAATTGGCCTTCAAACGGCCAACGAAACCGTCACACGTTGCCCGAATGTTGCTCTTCGGTATTTTCGCCCATTCCTGGTGAGGCACTCACTTGATGGAATGGAATATTGTGATATGTTCAGCTCACCAGCCATTTTTCGGCCACTGCGACGCGGGTTTCGATCAAGTCGCTTCTTTACTCTTCGAACCATTTCTGCTGATGTTGTTGTTTTCTTCCGTCCAGTTCCTTGAGTTCGGGCTACGCTACCAGTATCACGGTAACGAGCTATGGTACGGGACACAAAAGATTTATTCCCATTTAAATGCTGGAGTGCTCTAACGATAGCCACTTTTAGTTTTACAGCCAAATATAAATAATTCACACTATCACGATTGAATTCCTTTACAAATAACTTTTTTCTGGAAAACTATCACCAAAATGCTTTTGTACGCTTGTAAACAATATAATGAACTGCACTGGAATAATTTTAATAGCTGTCGGACGAGTGGCTTAGAAATGACAGCAGTCTGAACTTGGTTGCAGTTTTTTCATCTCACCCTGTATCTATATAGAATTTCTACAAATCTTCTACTTTGGGTATTCCTTTTATTTTTAGCCCTCCTACCTTAGATAGAGTACAAACACTTCGGTCAATTCAAACCCAATATCTATTTCATTTATTTATCAACTATGCTACTCGAAAAATCGGCATCGGAAAGTTTTATCCAAGTAGAAAAAGCTTTAGCTTTTCTCAACAAAAAAAAGCTAGTTTTAATAATGATGATGATGGCTAGCTGGCCAACACAACTTGTTTCTCAAATACACAAATCATTAAACATTCCATCAGCAGCTAGCTAAGACGTTCAAAAAAAGAAAGCGAAAGGTAACAAACAAATTTAGATGATGTAGTTGTTGGTGTATGTGTGGGTATTGGTGCTATAAGTGGGCTAAAAAACTTGACATAAGCAATTGTGCAGTGCTGGCCAAAAAATATTAAAAAAGAAATTCCGAGGGAGAATTACACAGAAATAATATTTTTAAAAACATTCTTCGCAAAAAAAAAAATACAGATTAGAAAATTCTGTCTCCTAATTGACCTTCAAAGTAAAGTTAGTTATTCAAATTAATTTGTAACGAAAACCGGTTAAACATATAAATCATTTAGCACAGGTTGCCATTGGTGATCATGATTATTATACCGAAAAAATTATTATTTTTTCCAGAATCAACATGAAACTGTATGCTGTATCCGATGGCCCACCATCTTTGGCTGTTCGCATGTGTTTGAAGGCCTTGGAATTGCCCTATGAATTGCACAATGTAGATTACATTGCCTCGGAACATTTGTCGGAGGAATATGCCAAGGTATGAGTTAAACAAAAAATTTGAAAATTTATTTAAAAAACCCTAACATTTTCCCTTCCATTGCAGTTAAATCCCCAGCGAGAAATTCCCGTTCTGGATGACAATGGTTTTCACCTGTCCGAAAGTGTGGCCATCATGCAGTATCTTTGTGATAAATATGCTGCAGATTCACCGCTCTATCCCAAGGAGGCCAAAGAAAGGGCATTGGTCAATCATAGACTATGCTTCAATATGGCCTTTTATTATTCGAGCATTGGGGCATATAGCATGGCTCCCATATTCTTTGACTATCAACGTACCGAAATGGGCAAGAAGAAAGTTGAAAATGCTTTGCAGGTTTTTGAAACCTATTTGAAGAAATTGGGCACCAAATATGCTGCCGGTAATCAGTTGACCATTGCTGATTTGGCCTTAGTTTCGGCTACTTTATGTTTGGAGGGCATCGCTTATGATTTCTCCAAATATCAATTGGTTAGCAAATGGTATCAGACATTTAAACAAGAATATCCTCAACTCTGGGAAATTGCCAATGGTGGCATGCAAGAGATTGCGGAATTTGAGCACAATCCACCAGATTTGTCGCATATGAATCATCCATTCCATCCAACAAGAAAGTCGAAGGCATAGAAATTAAGAGCTTAAAGTTGAAATGCAAGAAGCATTGAAAATGTTTTCTCATTATATTATATAAAAATATAATTTTTATTATTGTATTATTTAAAAATAGATGTGGTTTGATTTTCAACATTGAGGTTAGAGCGTGGAGAAAGATAGGAAACCTCTCTCAAGTAGAAATATCTGAGACATTCTATACATAGAAGACATCTGAGAGAGGTTTTACATACATAGAGGACCTCTTGGATGTCTTCTGTACACAGAGGACCATTTAGAGGTCTCCTATACATAGAGGACTTCTCGGAGGTCTTCTATACATAGAGGACTTCTCGTAGATTTCCTATACATAGAGAAACTCTCGGAGGTCTTCTATACATAGAGGACCTCTTGGTAGTCTTCTATACATAGAGGACCTCTTGGAGGTCTTCTATTCACATAGGACCTCTTGGAGGTCTTCTATACTTAGAGGACCTCTTGGAGGTCTTCTATACATAGAGAACCTCTTGGAGGTGTTCTAAACAAAGAGGATCTCTTGGAGGTCTTCTATGCATAAAGGACCTCTTTGAAGTCTTCTAAACATAGAGGAGCTCTCGGTGGCCTCCTATACATAGAGGACTCTCGGTGGCCTTCTATACTTAGAGGACCTCTCGGAGGCCTTCTATTCATAGAGAACCTCTTGGAGGTGTTCTAAACATAGAGGATCTCTTGGAGGTCTTCTATGCTTAAAGGACCTCTTGGAAGTCTTCTAAACATAGAGGAGCTTTCGGTGGCCTCCTATACATAGAGGACTCTCGGTGGCCTTCTATACTTAGAGGACCTCTCGGAGGCCTTCTATTCATAGTGGACCTCTTGGATATCTTCTATACAAAGAAGACCTCTCGGAGGTATTCTATACAAAGAGAACTACTCGGAGGTCTTCTATGCAAAGAGGACATCTCGAAGGTCTTCTATACAACTCGCACTCTCGAACTCTCCTATAACTTTTTACAGATCCTTCGTCCTTAAATAACATGGCCTCAACGAACTCACCTGAAATCCTCTATCAAGCTGCCAATTGCCGCCGACAGCTTTCGATGTTGACGACCCCATGCCGACTCCTCGGTAACATCTCCCAACAGGGCCCGGGCATCGGGATCTAAATATTTATCCAACTGTTTTTTGGCACCCTTACTCAGCAAATCCATTTTTGTCAAAACATTTACATGGGGCATCTCCAAATTTGCCATTACACTTAGGGCGGCCATTGTGCCCGACAGGAATTTCGCACCATCGATCATGAACTGAGAATCCACCAGAAATACCGTACATATACGAAAATTCCACGATTCCAGTAGCTGTACCAATTGTTTTCCCATATTCAGATGGGTAAATAATTCAATTTGTCCTGGCATATCGAAGAGGATGTAATCATCGTCGGGTTCACCACCCAACTCTTCGGCCACTTCATCACCATCATCACCGCCACCTCCACCACACAATTGATTTTTGAGCCAATCTTGATTTTCGATAAGGAATTCCAAACAAAACACCAGACCACCATTGGGTCCATAGTGTAGCTCCTCATCGTCCATGGCATCATCTAGCTGTATTAGATCTCTTATATCGACCAGGGGCTGGTAATCGAAATGTTCAGCGGCGGGATCGAGATTGACAACTTCAATAACACGTTTGGAGTCTTGAGCATGCCGTTGCATGAATGAACAGTAGGTGGACTGATAGAGTACAAAAATAATGAAATAAAAATGCTATTGCTGGCTGGGATAAGTTAATACCTACTTTCCCACTTCCTGCTGGACCAATAACCACCTGAGCGTAACGCATTGTGGTTGTGTTTCTCTCGTTCCCTTTGATTTGAAAGTTTGTGTTTCTTAAGAGGTTGGTGCCGTTCCGGTAACGAATTAAACCAACATTTATTCACTGAGAGGGACTTTGTGAACTAGTTCAGATTTTTATTCAATTTCACAAGTTTTTATACAAAGCACCTTTAAAAAAACTACGCCGTTGTGAAAGAAATGAAAAGCACAAAATGACAACTACTGATGAACACCAATAATCAAAACAAAATAATAAAAAAAAGCTGAAAATCATGTGGAAGTTGGAAAGAGTTGCCAACCCCTATTTCAATATTTTTAATGAATTGGCGCCAAAATTCAGAAAATAAATAACAATTTAGGCAAAAACTACTCCCTTGTGAAATGGTAAGAAACGCTATTAGGGAATTTATGATGAAGACACATAATAAAAAATGGTAAAACTCATGTGCACATTGAATAGAGTTGCCAACTCTAAATTCAACAAGAAACCGTTGAAGTATGCCAAAATTTTGGAAAGTAAAAAATTATTTAGGGAAGCTATTAAAAAATTAAAACTATTGCCTCGAGAAGTACTGAAAAACGTAAATTTCTGATAAATACCAATATTCAAATAAAATACCTAAAAATATGAATTGTTTTTTATTGCCAAACACACAATTTGAACTGGAAAATATCATGTTATTTTTTGAAAATAAGTATCACATCATAAAGTTTGAAAAACAATAATTTATACTATGGTACAATAAAAAGGTCTGCCCGACTTCTGACAATTTTGTGTATGTATTTGTTGTTTTGATAAATAAAAAAAGAATATTTTCAAAATTAATGATTGGAAGACGCGTAAATTGCGAGATGCGCTATTCTATTCGGCAGTTTTACCATGAAATCGAAAGATAGAACTTGTTAGATAATTTTTTTGACAGAAAATACAGGCATTTCATTCATTTTTTCCCGCTGTTTAACTGATTTTAAAAATGAAGAAAAATATTGAATAAATGAAAATAACTTGTTGCATGTAAATTTGACAGGAAGCGGGCATAGACTCAAGGCTGTATTTCTGTAGTTTTACAAAGCTGTTCTACCTCCTTATTGTACCATTATTTATACCATATCTTCAATTGGTTATGTAAATTGTTTTTTAAATGATTTTTGCATTTTATTTCAATAATTGATTTAAAAAGCGACTAAGATACATTGGTGATATTGGTCTTTATGGATTTAATTTTTAAATATCTATGTTTGCCCCCCAACGAATAGGGTACACATGGTACGAAAAAGACAAATTCGCGTTGCCATCTTCACGAATGATTTATTCTTAATTGTTCATTATAGGAAAAATGTATCTCTCCACAAAAATGCTTTCCGTGGATATTTGTGAGTGGGCTGATTTGTGTAACGAAGACCTAAAATGACCTTTTTTGGATAAGTCTCCTTTTAGTGATCTCCAATTGCGATCTGTCCTTCTTTTTTTAATAATCCAGCTAAAGAAGAGATTTCCGTGGCAATACCCTCTCCCTCAATTAAAACTAATTAGTTTTATTTTTCTTTTTTTGTTTTCCTCTTTATATTTATAGTTCAATATAAATCATATATTAAAAATAGTATTTTGTTTATTCTGTATGACTTATGAATGTGTTTTGTTTTTACAAGTAAAAATGTAAAATGTTCTTCTTGAAAAAAATATATATTTAATGGTAACTATGCGTTTGTTTTTAGCGAAACATAAATCTTAATTTATATTATTCACATTTATATCAGCTTTCATTTGTAGACTTTTCTCAAATAATGACATTCTTCTCTTTTGGATTTGATTTTGAATAAATAAATTGGTAAGTCTTAATGGGTAATATTTTTGGAATTTCTGGGAGGTTACTTTTTTTTTTAAAAAAATAAGAACAAATACCTATTGAGAAAATTTGTAAATAGAAGTGTTTATAAATTTAACAAAAGTGAGAGGGAGTTTTGTAAACTCTAAAATATATATTTTTTGGGAAATTATAAGATAAATAGTAAATTTATGTATAGTATATATGGAATATTTTTTTTTAGTTTTGTTTAAATAAAAATAATAATAAGAAAAAAAAAACAATAACAAGTTAACAAAAAATATAACCTAAAAAAGTTTTGATTTTTTTTTGTTTGTTTCGATAGCCTATAGTAATTTCGATATACTTTTTTTTTTTGGATATATAAGGCAAAGTTTCATTCATTCTAATCGTGGACTAGACATATATAGGGCGAGAGTTAAGTGTGTGTGTATATGTATGTATGTGTCTTTGTTTTTTGTTAGTTTATAAAGGAATTGAATCCATAACCAATTAAAATTAGAAAATCGAAAAAAGATCAACTAAAATGATATAGTCTTTCTATAGCCTAGAGGAATTACTTTCCGTTATATATTGTGACGGCGCCAGACGTGTATAAAACAATATGTAAGCAGCACTTGAGACCACCGTTGAGGCATCCTGTGGCGTTACCATTTGATCGTCAAACTTAAACCACTTGCCATAGGTGCCGCTCTTACAGAAGGCTGTATAGTGGCCACTCTCCATCGAGCCGTAATGATTTGAGACAGCGTACAATTCGTAGGATTTCGTTGTGTTGCGACGCGACTCTGATATTGTTATGTACGGGAACATATTTAGATTTTCCAGAGGAAAACGTAAATAATTTTGTTTTTTCTTATAGCTGGGACTAAGGGAATCGGTATCGGCATAGAATCTGAAAAGGTAGGACATAAAATTAAAAATGATTTGAGAAAATATTCGGCACAAAGCATACCTCTTCAAATGTATCACCAAGACCGGTGGCAGTTTTGAAATATTCAATTTCTTGATGGCATCCCGTTTCTGTTTGCAGGCCGGACAATTCCAGCCGCTTATGCGTTCACCGCTGAAATACATATCCAAACATTGTGACAGCTGGCAAATGTTGTTGTTCTCAGGCAGTTCAAGGCTTAAATTCGAAAAACACTCATATGTGGCCGACTCCTTGTCGCACGTGGTGCATTTGACGATACTTTTGATTTGACCATAAAATAAATGCAATATTAGACTTTCCTTGGCCTTGGTAAAGTCCAGCCAAGCCTTGTCGGAGGCGGTCATTGGTTCGCGGGGATATTCAGGCACTGTCAGGGTTTGTAGATCGGAGTGTAACCAATCCATGAGTATGGTAAGAAATTCATGGGAGTCCTGTTGTTCAATGCCACGAAACATTTTCTGATATTGGCCAATGACATACTGCAGAAGAATAATTTAATTTAATTAATTAAAAGCAGAGAGAGAGGGGAAGGGGAAGATGACATGTTTGGGTTATAAACCACAAATTAGCATAACACATTTTAAAACTGTTATGCGTGTGTGTATGTGTTGCCAAAAACACCTCTACCCAAATGACCAACTTACACGCAAATCCTTGCTGGCCACACATTTATAGTTTCCATTCCACAGGACCTTTATGAGTGCCGCCACCTCCTCCACAATTTGTCCCTTTGTTTTATTGTTGCGACTTATATAGTTTTTGTATTTGTCTGTAATACAATATTCCGCCAGCTGGGGGGTATTGCTGAGGCACTGCAAAATGCTGTTCATATAGCAGGTATTGCCTAGATTCTTTAAGCCGGTCAAGCCACGACCCTAAATTACACAGTGAAATAAAGAAAGAAATAATAAAAAATATATATATATATTAATAGACCAATGTAATTGAGCAATAATATTGTGTATTTCGCCACGAGTTCTGTTTGTTCGTACATCATAATAGACCATGTCTTTTGCTGGCAATCTTTTTGGTGGGAACAGCTTGTAAACAACGGAAGATTAGCAACCATTTGTTGGAAACAAGCATTTGAACAAGGGATAAACAATGTTTTTTATTTATCAACCCCCCCTCCATGCCATGACAACGACTTGTGGATATTATTTAAGATTCGCGCAATCACAGACATAGAGACCATGCCAAAACGGCATGGAAGGGGGAAATTATTTCATATTGAAAGGAAGTCTTGTAACACCTATGACAACATATAAATTCTTACCAAAACTGACAGATAATTGACCCCTCATTTGAGAATTATTTACCCAAATAATGTATTCACAATACGGGGATAATTCACCTTCAATTTGGGAATAATAAAATAAATAAAACAAAAAATAAAACATTCCAACAGAAGTTTTGTTAAAAAAAAGTTTGATCAAAAATTTCCTAGACAAGATATTTTTCAAAATTTCCTGGACGAAAATGGTAGATTTTTCAAAAAATACCTCCTGAGAAGGTCTTTTTTGTAAAGATATTTTTCAAAGTCTTCTTTAAATATGTATCCTATTTGTTATACAAATTTATACAAATGTGAAGTGCTTTTGTTTGTTTCTAAAATTAAGTAACTTAATAAAGAAATCTACAATATTAATATTCGAATATATGTGTTGAATATTGATTAGTCTGTGGAGCAAAATATAAGTTTGAAAATCAATTCAATTTTTACTCAAAGATGGCAACGCGACTGAGTCTTTTCACATTTTGTGTTGCCTGCCTGTTCTGCTCATTAAAGTAATTTGAAGAGTTTTAGTTTCTTTTAAGAATTAAGCGACAGTTTGTGGAACAACTTTTAAGTTTGAAACGTTTGAATTCTATTCCCGCGGAAAGCATTTTTTTCGTACCTTGCGTTTCCTAGGTCTTTGTTGTAAATTAATACAATTTGAAGTGATTTTGTTTCGTTCAAGAATAAAGCCATTTAAAAACACAAATTAAAAATATTAGTATTCGGATATATGTTTCGGATGTTAAGATGTCCGTGGAGCAACAAAGCAATTTAAAAAGTCTGTATTCTATTCCCACGGAAAGCATTTTTCTCAAGTGATCATTACTCCAGTCATAAATAACTGATAAATAGTTTGTGAAGAAGGCAACGCGAATTGGTATTTTTCTTACCTTGTGTTCCCTATGTCTTTGGTGCAAATTAATGCAACTCGAAGTGATTTTGTTTCGTTAAAAAATAGAGCCAATTAAATACTCAAATTAGTACTCGAATACATGTTTCGGATGTTAATAAGTTTGTGGAACAACATATAAGTATGAAAGGTTTGAATTATATTCTCGTGGAAACCATTTTTCCCAAAAGATCATTACTCCAATAATGAATAACTGATAAATAGTTTGTGAAGAAGGCAACGCGAATTGGTCTTTTTCGTACCTTGTGTTCCCAATGTTTTTTCTGCAAATTAATACAATTTGAAGTGATTTTGTTTCGTTTAAGAATAGAGCCAATTAAATGCACAAATAAAAAATATTAGTACTCGAATATATGTTTCGGATGTTAATAAGTCTGTGGAACAATATATTAGTATGAAAATTTTGAATTCTATTCTCACGAAAAGCATTTTTCTCAATAAATCATTACTCTAATTATGAATAACTGATAAATAGTTTGCGAAGAAGACAACGCGATTTGGTCTTTTTCGTACTTTGTGTTCCCTATGTCTTTGGTGCAAATTAATGTAATTTGAAGTGATTTTGTTTCGTTAAAGAATAAAGCCAATTAAATACACAAATTAAAAATATTAGTATTCGAATATATGTTTCGGATGTTAATACGTTTGTGGAACAAAATATAAGTATGAAAAGTTTGAATTCTATTCTCACGGAAACCATTTTTCTCAAGTGATCATTACTCCAATCATAAATAACTGACAAATAGTTTGTGAAGAAGGCAACGCGAATTGGTCTTTTTCGTACTTTGTGTTCCCTATGTTTTTGTCGCAAATTAACCGAAGTGCGAATTTCTACTCTGAAACTGTTGCCGGACAGTTCAAAAGTGATTGAATTTTAGGGCCCACCCTTCGAAACGTTGTGACCCATCCTGAGGGCAAATATTTTAAATAATTATTTTCTTTGTTTATTTTTTTTTTTCAATATCATTGACCTGGTTTCTTCTATCTCCCTCAGAAATTAATTCCGAAAACCAAGGTGTCTATAAATTTCGGGAGTGTCCTCAAATCAAATTTCCATCTATTAAAGCAAACATTTAACAATAAAATAACTTAATTACCAAAACAGAGGAGGTGTGGGAGTTGTTGGAAAACTAATGGTAGACAGTGTTAAATTTGTTATGGCCATTTCGATTTAGTTTTGTCTTTATGCATGCATGCATGCCATAGCAAACTCCCCTTGGGGTCGATGACAAAGATTGAATGAATTTCTCAAGAAAACATGTTTTTTCGTTCCTTGAGAAGGACCCCACCTACCTAAAAATAGTAGCTTTCTATCTGTCCATACAAATCCATTCATACACGCAACGCCAGGCAGGCAGGCATTTCCTTTGTTATTTTTGTTATACTAATCTGTTTAAAATTTATGACCAGATAGGGAACACGCAAAAAAAGGAAAATAAAAGAAATGCCAAGTAAGTTCAAGGTATAGCCTGGGAAAGGTAAAGAACCAAAGAAAACCTCCAGAGAAAATAGAAAAAAGAAATTTATTTTAAAGTTGTCTTGTGGTTTTATAATGAAGCGCCTAAAAGTATGCTCCGCCGAAAGGCGAGTGTGTGTTAAAAGCCAACGAAAAGGTCAGAAGTTCGGTTTTTCTTTTAATAGCAGGGACGTGTACAAATTATAAAATATAGTTTACAAAAATTATAGTCATGGAAGACATATAAAAGATCTACCAAACATAAAATATATGTAGAAGCTTAAACGATATGAATAATTACTGCTGGTTCTGTGTTGGAGACTTAATACAGATTGTGTATTATATGTTCTCACACAAGCTTGTGTTTCACATTTATGAGAGTTGTGTGGTAGCAGAGTTAAAGCTCGACAGTCTCAATTTCTTCCTCATCTTGGCAGGGCCTACTGTAATCGATACCGTGGCTACTCCATTTAGAAGGCATGGCTCTCACGCTACAGTGATCCGGTGCGCTCCGCATGCATTAGGTAAGGTTTCTCGGATATTATAGATCAGATTTTCTTAGGGACATTACATCCTTTTTTTCTATCCATTTTTGTTGGAATCTACCGGAGTACCACGAAAAAGTGACTTAAGCCTGGTCTAAGCGAGTTCTCAACTTTAATGTTAATTGATTCGGATTCCCGTCTTTCTGGAAAACCATATGTGGCTATCGTTAGGGCACTCCAGCATTTAAATGTGAATAAATCTTTTGTCTCTCGTACCATCGCTCGATACCGTGATACTGGTAGCGTAGCCCCACGTCAAGCAAGTGGACGGAAGAAAACAGCAACATCAGCAGAAACGGATCGAAAAGTAAAAAAGCGACTTGATCGAAACCCGCGTTGCAGTGGCCGAAAATGGCTCGTGAGCTGATCATATCGCAATATTTCAGCATTCGGCAAATAATGAAATATGAGCTCGGGATAAAGCCATTGAAATTCCAAAAAGTGCAAGAACTTACACCGCAACAGAAAGAAAATAGACTCAAAAGAGTTAAAGAGTTACTTCGCTTGGCCGAATGTGGTGAACTGCCGAATTTGGTTTTCTCCGCTGAGAAAACATTCGTTGTACAGCAGTTTGTAAACAAACAAAATGATCGTGTTTACTTGCCAAAGGCGTCAGCTGAAAATGTGCACCTTCGGTTGGCCACCAGGACTCAAGCGCCGGCCATGGTGATGGTTGTGGGCCATAACGCCACAACAGCCGATGGTCGCTCTCCGCTCGCATTAATCGACCGTGGCATCGGAATAAATGCCGAATATTATCGCAAAAATATTCTGGATGGTGTATTAAAGCCTTGGAAACAAAAACATTTGGTCGCAGACCTTGGACATTCCAACAGGACGCAGCACCATCGCACTTAGCACGCGCCACCCAAGAATAGTTACAAAATGAGATTCCTCGTTTCATTTCCAGCGCACAATGGCCACCAAAATCTCCGAATACCAATCCGTTGGACTATTGTGTCTGGAGTATTTTGCAAGGAAAGCAAGGTTGACACCAAAAAAATACCAAAGTGTTGATCACCTCAAGCAAGCGCTTCACCGGGAATGGGCCAAAATATCGCAGAGCAACATTCGGGCAGCGTGTGACGGTTTCGTTGGCCGTTTGAAAGCCATAATTCGTGCCAATGGTGACCAATTAGAACAAATCTAAACTTATTCTAAAATTTGATGCTATTTCCTACATTTTTTGCTTTCACTTCATGCAAGCGTTTCGCCGGGAATGGCCCAAAATACCGCAGAGTAACATTCGGGCAGCGTGTGACGGTTTCATTGACCGTTTGAAGGCAATAATTCGTGCCAAAGGTGACCAATTCAAACAAATCTAAACTTATTCTAAAATTTGATGCTATTTCCGACATTTTTTGCTATCACCTCAAGCAAGTGCTTCGCCAGGAATGAGCCAAAATACCGCAGAGCAATATTCGGGCAGCGTGTGACGGTTTCATTGGCCGTTTGAAGGCCATAATTCGTGCCAAAGGTGACCAATTCAAAACAAATCTAAACTTATTCTTAAATTTGATTTCCGGCATTTTTTGGTTTCATTCAATAAAATTAAAAAAAAGTGTAAATATTACGGCGTTTGACTTTGTTGCAGTTTCTTTTATCTCACCCTGTATATTCAAAATTTGTTCGAAACGATTGCAAGAATTTACCTCGCAAGCCAAACATTAAAAAAACCTAATTACGCCTTATTTGAAATTTCTGCAAGGATTCACATTTTGAATCATTTTTCATATTTTGAAAATCTTTTGGAAAAATATTTTATTTCATGCATTCCAAATTCCAAAAAAATATTCAATTTAAATTGCACTTTAATGTCGACGCAAAAAAAAAAAAACAGACGCTAGACCCAATTATTGAGTTAACGCCTAAAAGTATGCAATGAAATCGATACTTGTTTGTGTTTCGTACCTTTTTCACAGGACGAAATGGTGATTTATAACGATATGTCGTTGTTGCAGGCAATTGTATTTTCACACCAGCAATAATCATGATAAAACGGAACACTTAACCAAATTCGAATTTATTCGATAAATAATAAAAATATCTTTGAGATCCCGACAATACCAAGTCGTCATTCTTTGTTCAGAGAACCGTTTGCAACTAAAATAGAGAAACTTAAATCAGCATTGGTATTGGGTAGGTTCATTGGTTTTTTTTTTTCGTTATTTTTGGGCAAAACAATACCGGGTATAAAAAGAAAGAAAGCAAAAAAAAAAAAAAAATAGAAAGGCGCGTTCCGAAACAAACATGCGTAGAAGGGCTTTTTTAAAGAATCATGTCTGTGTGTTGGTTACATTCGATTGATGAACTAGGCAGGTTAACATGTGCTCAAGCCCACCACTACATGTCCAATAGGCATTGTTTTTTTCATTCACATTTCTGTACGTGTGCCGGCCAACTGTCTGGCCAGGGCGGCATTGCTGCGTATATCGCCCGCAACAATGGAGGCAATGTTTGATTTAGATTTTTCTAATTCATCTTGGGGATAAATAAGTATAAACTCTAGGAAAACTAGTGCCGTGGCTACACATTGACAGCAATTGCGGCGGGTAATGGTGATGGCAATTTCTATTTATTTACGTAGTTTCAAAACGTGACCTTTTGTTTTCGGTTGACTGGGAATGCCACGAGGAAAGGAAAGAAGGGAGGCAAAGGGACGTCAAATGAAGAGATTTATTTGCAAATATAGGCTGACTTATTGATTTTTGTTTTGTTGTTGACGTCGAAACTAAAAAACGAAAAGAAAAAAAAAACAAAACAGTTCTTATGGAGGGGCTGGCCGAAAACCTATTGTTAACTGTTGCTTGTGAATGCAGAAGGGAGGAAGGGCATTTTGTTGTCAATAGTTTCCCACCGAAAATTAAAAAAGAAACGTGCACAGTTGTCGACGTCAATTGTAGATGAACTAGGTATGCTCCTGGTTCGAATTGCAATGATTTGAGAAATGCACTCGTGATGTGAGTGCATGGCTCACGTTTAAATATAGTCCAATAATGATGGTTGGTAGGATAGAAATATGGAATTGGTAATTTGCCACGAAATGGAGGAATAAGTATGGTACAATGTTTAAATGGTTTAAATGAAAAATAATTTCACGTGGATGTTTCTGAAGGTGATGGCAAAAGTTGGTCATACAATGGGAAAAGAGAAGTGAGATAAAAAAAACTGCAACAGAGCCAAATGCCATAATTTTGACATTTTTTTTAAATGTTCTGCGTTAGCGAATTAAGACAGATCGTGTATGATATGTTCTCTCACAAGCTTGTGCCTCACATTGCCTAACAGTTGGGTAGTGGCAGAGTAAATGTTCGACTGTCTCAATTTCTTCGTCATCTTGGAAGAGCCTACCATAATAATCGCTATTATAGCTACCCCATTTAGAAGTCATGGCTTTCACGCTACAATGACCTGTGATTGTGCCCTCCTCATGTTTCATGCCAGGTTTCGCCATGGAGATTAGCGATCTTGTTCTCTTCTCGGCCATTATAGGCTAGTTTTTCTTAGGAACATTAACTCCCTTTCATCTATCCATTTTTGTTCGAATCTCTCGGAGTAATGTTTGTGTATCGCACGAAAGAAGTGCCAGAAGGTTGGTCTAAGCGAGCTCTCAGCTTTAATGTCAATTGATCCAGAACCCTGTCTTTCCAATTAATCTACTGTCTCATTGCCTAGAATATTGCAATGGTCTAGAACCCAGCAGATTTATAGAAGGTCTAATTTTGAATTTTTTTAAATTTTATTGAATGAAAGCAAAAAATGTCGGATAGAACATCAAATTTTAGAATAAATTTAGATTTGTTCGAATTGGTCACCTTCGGCACGGATTATGGCCTTCAAACGGCCAATGAAACCGTCACACACTGCCCGAATGTTGCTCTGCGGTATTTTGGCCTATTCCCGGTGAAGCGCTAGCTTGAGCTGATCAACACTTTGGTATTTTATAGTGCCAACCTTGCTTTCCAAAATACTCCAGACACAAAAGTCCATCGGATTAGTATCCGGAGATTTTGGTGGCCATTGTGCGCTGGAAAATGAAGCGAGGAATCTCATTTTGTAACCATTCTTGGGTGGCGCGTGCTGAGTGCGATGGTGCTAAGGAGTCCTGTTGGAATGTCCAAGGTTTGCGGCCAAAATGTTTGCGTGCCCAAGGCTTTAATACACCCTCCAGAATATTTTCGCGATAATATTCGGCATTTATTTTAATGCCACGAAGCGGAAAGCGACCATCGGCTGTTATGGCGACCCACAACATCACCATGGCCGGCGTGTGATACAGGACCGCACATTACGCTACACCTCTTTAATTACACAGTCAAACCTACCCAACTCACTCCAGAAGATCTCTGGCTACAGTCCATTAAAGTAGCCGAATTTCTAAACCTGGAGTTGGAACCAGATTAGCAGAATGCAAACACTTGCAAATATTACTGCTACAACAACAACAACAATGGCCGGCGCTTGAGTTTTGATGGCCAACGAAAGGCGCACATTTTCAGCTGACCTCTTTGGCAAGAGGCAGATCATTTTGTTTCTTTACAAACTGCTGGACAACGAATGTTTTTTCAATGGAGAGCAGAAAACCATTTTCGGCAGTTCACCACTTTCGGCCAAGCGAAACAACTCTTTAGCTCTTTTGAGTCTATTTTCTTTCTGTTGTAAGTTCTGGCACTTTTTGCAATTTCAATAGCTTTACCCCCAGCTCATTTTTCAATATTTGCCGAATGCTGAAATTTTGCGATATGTTCAACTCAGGAGCCATGCGACGCGGATTTCGATCAAGTCCCTTCTTTACTTTTCGAACCATTTCTGCTGATGTTGCAGTTTTCTTCTGCAGTTTTCTTCCGTCCACTTCCTTGACGTCGAGCTACGCTATCAGTATCAGTATCACGGTAACGAGGGATGGTACGAGACACAAAAGATTTATTCACATTTAAATGCTGGAGTTCTCTAACGATAGCCACTTTTGGGTTTCCAGCCAAATATGAAGAAATCACACTAACACGCTTGAATTCCATCACGAATAACTTTTTTTTCTGGAAAATTCTAAACAAAATGCTTTTGAACGCTTGTAAACAATATAATGAGCTGCCACTGGAATAATTTTAACAGCTGTCGGACGTGTGGCTTACAAATGACAGCAGTCTGAATTTGGTTGCAGTTTTTTCATCTCACCCTGTACATATTTAATAGAATGCTATCTAAAGACCAAAAATGCTTTTAAAAAATTCTCTATAACGCTCGATAATAACCTTAAATCGGATAGTTCTTGAAGAAAATTGTAAAAAATAGACGTCCAAAAAATTCTTGAAAAATATTTCTAAAAATCGACGACTTAATATCCTCGAAGGAACTACTGTTAATCCACGACCTGAAAATCCTTAAAAAATTATCCTTGAAAAACCATATTTTTTTAAAAAATTCAACGACTTAATAATCCTGGGAAAAACATAATTCAATTTAATTTAAAAAATTGTCCCCTAAAAGAATACTTTAAAAAATAAACGACTATTTCGGTAAATCACGACTATTTTAAAAGTATTCACACCGTTTCCAAACGACACTTCTAAGTGTAATTCATAGGGCCCTTTTGCCGGAAACGTTCTTAGAAGCCCCTATTCCATTCCAAACGACACTTCTAAGTGTAATTCATAGGGCCCTTTTCCCGGAAACGTTCTTAGAAGCCCCTATTCCATTCCAAACGACACTTCTAAGTGTAATTCATAGGGCCCTTTTCCCGGAAACGTTCTTAGAAGCCCCTATTCCATTCCAAACGACACTTCTAAGTGTAATTCATAGGGCCCTTTTCCCGGAAACGTTCTTAGAAGCCCCTATTCCATTCGAAAAATTAGCATAGATTTTAATTTAAAAGTCGTCAACTTACCACAGCACCTCGAACGGGTGAGAAGTCACGTTGTTTATCTTGTAAGGCATAAATATTTGGCGACTGAGGCGTTTGTTGTTGCTGATGATGGGCTGTTAATTGAGGTTTGACGGAACGATCAAATTGGGGTACAGTAGGTTTTGGTGGCACCATTTCCACAGGGGCGGGTGGTGGCGGTGACGGTTCTCGCTCCAATTGTTCTTGTTCTGTTTGCTTTTCCTGTTGACGATTTTGGAAGAACTTCTTATTTTCTCTAGCAATGGCAAGTTGTATGGCCCGTTGTTCTTTTTCCCTCTCGAGTTGTTCATCTCGCCGTAGACGTTCTTCAATTTTTGCCTCAATTTCCTTGGTCTTTTCCTCAACCTCTTGGGCTTGTTGGCGTGTAACACTTTCCTGTTCGCGGCGTTTATATTCTTCCAGCTCTTCACGAAGACGCATGTTGTCAAGTTTCTAAAAGGAAAATAGTTAAATATTTGTGCAAAATTTTGCTAGAAAAACTTACATAATCCTTGGCCACACTTTCTAATTGCATCATTTTATAGAGTATCTCTTGATCCGCAAGATCCAATTGTTTCTTCTCGTAAATGCTATTCAATTGTTTGGCCACTTTCTGTAATTCCTCATCGTTTTCTTGGGCTTTTTCCAATAACACCTCCTGTTCTTTGAAAATTTCTTCAATGGCCTTTTCTTTTTCTTTGTAGGTTTGTATGGCCGCTTGTTTACTGGCTCGATCGATAACTGGTCGTATGGGTGAAGTGGCCGTTGTCGTGGTGGTGGTGGTCTTTAAAACTTCATCTTTCATTTGAATATCAAATACTGATGGATACTCAATATCATCAATGAGATTCATATCATTTTGTGGTGTTGACGGTGCCTGCACCATTGGATTTGTACACTTAAAAGGATAGACCAATTTAAAGTAATTATAGCCACCTTCGAGAATTTGTATCGGTGAACGATAGGTGACATCAGGATCCCACTGAAAGATAAAAACAATTTTATTTAAAAAACAATTTAAATTTAATCTGCGCTAAGCCTTAAAATTTGATTTTTGTATCGAAGATGCCTTCCAGGACCCATTAACTAAAAATTGGAGATCAACTACTATGAGATATTTAATTTGCATTTCAAATTTCTAAAAGTATTCAATTTAAACTGCATTTTAATGTTGGCGCAATAAAAAACAAACACTACGACCAATTAATAAGTTAACGCCTAAAAGTATGCAATAAAATCTATATTTTTTGTTTTTCGTATATTTTTCACAGGACGAAATGGTGATTTATAACGATATGTCGTTTGAGATTCCGAAAATAGCAAAATAGTCGCTCTAGAAACATTTCTGTAGAGCAGATGCCTTCAGAGGCCACCTAATCTGGAGTAGTATCATCTGTGCCCAGAGGTCACTTCTATAGTGTAGATGTACCCATATATGGCCCTAGTGGCCACCTACAATGAAGTATATGCACCTAAATCTCATTTAGTAACGTAGTATATGTCCCTAGAAGACCATAAGCTTCACTCTTTACTCACATTTTGTAAAATATTCAGTAAAATAGCAATAGCTGATCCTTCCGGTGGATTTGGATCCGAACAACTCCAATCCATTAGAACCACATGATCTTTAATGGCTCTGGCTGACCACAGCTTTTTTGATTCAGGATCCAGCTTATCCTGTAATTTGCCAGCCGACATACTACAATAAAAAAGGAAATTTTAAAAAAACCTTAACATATCATGCATAATATTTACCCATATTGTATCAATTCCTGGGGCACATTGAAAGCCAACGGATAGGTGAGATGTGACATCTTGTAATCATCGGCTGGACGACAATCCATAATCAAAACTTTTTGTGTTTTCATGCATTCAAAGAGCTCTTGAGATGTCATCAAACGTAGGGATGGCGGAAAACCATTGCTTTCTGTTACCTTGGGTGAGTTGGAACGTGATCTCTCCTGATTCAGGGATGAATTCAAACTGCTTCTGTTGAGAGGTGTCACACTGTCACGTTTCTCCAATTTCTTGGCATTTAAACGATCATAACGTTCATTCAGTGACCTCGTCAACATTTCCAAGCGATCCATGGTCATCTTGTTGGAACGATTATCGCCCAACATTTGTCTTATCAGCGGCTTGCTTTCAATGTAATCCCTTTTCTTGTAAATAATATTTAGCAGGCTAAAATATTTCGTATAAAATACATAGGCCATTTCCTCATCGCCCAGACGATAATATTTTTCGGCCTCAGCAATAAGTCTTTTTGCTGTCTCCAGTAACCTAATTAGAAGAAACACAAGCAGGAGGAGGTGGTGGAAGGGGTGAGACAAATAAAAAAAAACATTAGAAGATGACACACACAACCCACAAGCCGAAATGGAAAATCTACTTACATTTTCATCTTTTTATCGCGTACATCTGGTATTTCGGACTGTTTTTCCAAATCGTCGATGTTTTTACATAAATATAAATCTTTTATATGCGACATTATTGTTTTATTTGTGATTTTTTATGGGGAAAACAAAGTTTTTACGCGTATGAAACGCGTCCAAGACCAAAAATAATGTAGGGATCACCAGTTTGAAAAACGAATCACATAGGGATTACTAGATTTGAGAAATGGGCCATATAGGGATCGCTAGATTGAAAAAATACCCTTTCGAGGGACCAACAGGTTGAAAAACAAACATCTCAGGTTGTCATTAATTAACACAATCAGAAACAAATAACGAACAAGTTTAAAATAACTACTCTATGAAGGTCAAGATTGGATGCACAATACGTTTAAATCATTATTAAGCTACAAATCATTAATAAAGCGTATTATTAAACTGCAGTCATTAAATTGTCACTAGTGAGCTGCTTCAAAGCGAATTATTCACCAAATTGAACTATAAGAACTAGTTGCATTTTATTTGTTCATTAATTTTCTTCAGTTTTTAAAAATGAACGATTGAATCAAAGTAAATGTAAAAGTGGTCTGTATGCTAGGAATAAATATTATTCTATGGAATACTATGATTCAGCCAGGCTAAACAGAAGTTATTCTATGGACATTTTGAGGGATTGAAAATATGAACCTGTCAAACCTGTGTAACCCTGTGAATTCGATAGCAAATGTTGATGTTTTCACAGTTGGCAACACCATGTTAACGAAGACATTTGATGAAATTCGTTAGGTGTGGCAACAAGAAATTAAGTTTAGTTAAAAACCATAAAAAAAGCTCAGCTATAACAGAGGTCGCTAATATTTATTAAGAATATTAAAACAAAATGTTTTGATGTTGATTAGGAAAGTACAAAAATCCAAAACTAAGGAGCTCGGGATAGAATTCAGGGTAGGGCATCAAAAAAACCGTAACAAATTCACAACTAAGCTCAGGGAGGAATTTGAAATTTTTTAAAATCCGCATACTTAAAGTATGCAACATATTTCTTTAAATTAATGTTAATAACTCCCTCACAATATGCAACAATTTATTTAATTTATCTTTAGAATGTGATGACTCTCTCTTAAGTTCGTAAATTTACCTGTGTTGCCGGTCTGTTTCAAAAGCCATAAATAATCCCCCGAACAAAGATGAGACATCAACAAATTTGTTGACAATAAATTTTGTGCAAATATTTCTTTATTTCTTGCAGATATTATTAGCTTCACACCAAAAGTACTCTGTGAAAATAAATTATGAGCTGCATAATCGAAAATGGTCGCCTGAGGTGTGGAGTGGTGGCTGGTATAGTTTCTAAACATGACAATATAGTCTCTAAATGTGTGGAGGAGTAGGCGGACAAAGAGGTAAGCATTTTCATTATCACATACTTTATACACTATCGTCTTTTCTCCCACACACATATGTATACGTATGTACGTGTGTTTTTGCACAACCCGCTACAATGCAGTTTTTAGTCTGTAACAAAACACTGCATACTTTTAGGCTCATAAATTATCCATTATTTGTGTGCATAGTTGTAGTCTGTTGAATCCAACGATGTCTCGATGGCTATCCATAAACTTTGGGAACATGGTATTGTGTTCATGCATACGTGTGGGAGTGTTTATGGGGGGACTGGTTGAGGATTCGGCTAAAATTCTGTTCCTTTTTAACTAATTGTTATATTGGTGTGGAGTGGATATTTTTTAAACATTTTTCAAAGGATATTTAGAGCTACTTAGGCGTGGATTTTTTAAACATTTTTCAAAGGATATTTAGAGCTACTTAGGCGTGGATTTTTTAAACATTTTTCAAAGGATATTTAGAGCTACTTAGGCGTGGATTTTTTAAACATTTTTCAAAGGATATTTAGAGGTCCTGGGCGTGGATTTTTTAAACATTTTTCAAAGGATATTTAGAGCTACCTTGGGCGTGGATATTTTAAACATTTTTCAAAGGATATTTAGAGCTACTTAGGCGTGGATTTTTTAAACATTTTTCAAAGGATATTTAGAGCTACTTAGGCGTGGATTTTTTAAACATTTTTCAAAGGATATTTAGAGCTACTTAGGCGTGGATTTTTTAAACATTTTTCAAAGGATATTTAGAGCTACTTAGGCGTGGATTTTTTAAACATTTTTCAAAGGATATTTAGAGCTACTTAGGCGTGGATTTTTTTAAACATTTTTCAAAGGATATTTAGAGGAGCTACTTAGGCGTGGATTTTTTAAACATTTTTCAAAGGATATTTAGAGCTACTTAGGCGTGGATTTTTTAAACATTTTTCAAAGGATATTTAGAGGAGCTACTTAGGCGTGGATTTTTTAAACATTTTTTAAAGGATATTTAGAGCTACTTAGGCGTGGATTTTTCAAACATTTTTCGAAGGATATTTAGAGCTACTTAGGCGTGGATTTTTCAAACATTTTTCAAAGGATATTTAGAGCTACTTTTTTAATTTAATAATTTACTTTTTAATTTTTTAATTTACACACCACCCTTTTAAATTTTGTCACCAAAAATCACATCCTTGTTTTCGTCCTGCAGAGAGAAAAAAATCGGAATTTAAACTATGTAGACATATTTCATAAACTATTTGCGACAAAGTCAAGCAAAACGAACGAAATTGAATCACGGCGAAAACACGAATATTTCAACGCCTTTGTGACACTTTTCTGGATGGTCGGCAAAAAAGGACCCAAAAAACAACTTTCAGCGATTTTTGCCAAAAGAAAATTGAGGAACATCCGGGGCCACAATTTTCCCCTTTTACATACAGATATGGAAAATAAATTAACTTCCAGAAAAAAAGGAAAGTTAAAGAAACACTTTCGCCCCAGCTGACTTATATATGATGTGCCTTAAAGTAGGCAATGGATTTTGATTAATTTCGTAATAGCTCTAGAGAAGGTTTTGGAAATTCTATCCATGGCAGAGGTTTTTAAGGCCTTCTATCTCCGAACTTATCAATAAATTAGGTAAAAACTATGAACTTTAAGTTATGCCTATAAATATGCAATGTTTTTTTCTGATATTCTCTCAACTACACCTAGCCACAGCTGACATAAAAAGGGCGTATTTATCTATTATAAATAATTGAAAATCTTTAACTTCAATACATGATCTCATCATTACATGTAATGCTGTGCATCTACGTGTGTGTGTGTGTGTGTGAGTAATCAATACTAGAGATTACCAATCCTCCCGGCTGGAAATGGCTAACAATAAAATGGAGGAGGAGAAGAAGGAAGATGATTGTATGTTCTGTGGTCGTTTTTGTGGTCTAACACAAAACACTAAGAAGTCATTAGATACAGACACCCGCACACATGCCCTCACACATGCTCTCACACACACACTCTCTCCAAATTTGAAGGGCTCTCACACACATTAACACATTTGTATTGCACTAAATCAACCATAAATTGTTTTGTCGAGGTTCAACAAGGGTCTTGAAATGAAGTTAAGGAGGTGGTGGGTAGCAAATTGAAATTTTCTAAACATATCCCCAACTCTAGGTCTCTCTAGGTATGTAGGGGGAGGAAGAGGAGTATTGCTATGCTTACATTTTGTTACATTGTCGCTCTGCTTGTAATCCTGGAGATGGAATGGGATGTCATTGCCATTTATCTGTTTTTAAGACAATTATCTTCGATTTTCGACTTTTGTAAACGAAGTTGAAAGGTTGGAGGAGTTTTTCAGGGGGTGAAGGAAGACATTCCAATGTTGTGTACGACAAATGCTATGCTGTCAAGGTGAAGACGACAATGTCCCCATAATCAATTGTGAGAAATTGAAATTTCCACCTGTCAGCCGAATGAAATTAATTGCAAGTGTGACCATGAGGTGAGGGGGTATCTTGGAGGGGAGATTTTCGATTTTTCGGGAGTAGAAATGTAAATAGAAGGCTCAAAAGAGGTTTGGCCCTGGGATGCCTAAGGCGTTTTATAGAATGTGAATGGTATAATTAGCAAAAAATCAAAAAAATCTGAAAAAAATGTCCATTGAAACCCACGTTGGGCGCCATTATTGCATCAAGTGAAGAAGCAAACCCTCCATAAGACACAATCACACAGGTTTCCTACTTGAAAAATCTTAAATTGAATAGCGGACATGGTGGCGCCCAACGTTAAAGTCATATTTTGGCCATTGAAACCCACGTTGGGCGCCATTATTGTATCAGGTGAAGAAGCAAACCCTCCATAAGACACAATCACACAGGTTTCCTACTTTGAAAATCTTAAATTGTATAGCGGACATGGTGGCGCCCAACGTTAAAGTCATATTATGGTCAAATAGGATAACCTTTTTCAGGTTATGTTGGGCGCCAAAATGATTACAATGGGTGCAAAGGTACCATATTTAATTGCGAGAAATTGAAATTTCCACCTGTCAGTCGGATAAAATTAAATGCAAGTGTGACCATGAGGTGTGGGTGTATCTTGGATGGGAGATTGTTGAATTTGGGAGTAGAAATGTAAATAGAAGGACCATAAAGGTCTGGTTCTATGATGCCTAAGGAGTTTTATGGGTATAATTAACAAAAAATAAAAATCTGAAAAATGACCATTGAAACCCACGTTGGGCGCCATTATTGTATCAAGGGAAGATGCAACCCTCCATAAGATACAATCACACAGGTTTCCCACCTGGAAAATCTTAAATTGCGGATATGGTGGCGCCCAACGTTAAAGTCATATTATGGTCCAATAGGATAATTATTTTCAGGTTACGTTGGGCGCCAAAATGATTATGATGGGCGTAATGGTACTATAATCAATTGCGAGATATTGAAATTTCCACCTGTCAGTCGGATGAAATTAAATGCAAGTGTGTCCACGAGGTGATGGGGTATCTTGGTTGGGAGATTTTAGATTTTGGGTGTAGAAATGCATGTCCCATAAAGGTCTGTTTCTAGGATGGCTGAGGCGTTTAATAGGTCCATAATTTGCTACAGGAAAGGTATAATTAGCAGAACTTCAAAAAAAAAAAAATTCAGAAAAATGGCCATTGAAATCCACGTTGGGCGCCATTATTAGAACAATTGAAGATGCAACCCTCCATGGATTTCAATAAGAGGTCTTGAGAGGGTGAGATAAAAAACTGGAAAAAAGTCAAACGCCATAATTTCTAATTTTTTTTTTAATTTT